TCTTAGGTCTCCTTCGCTAGTCCACTTCACTCATCCCACCTTACAGCCAGCTGGGCTGTTCACCATTCCTCAGCCTCCTTTAGCCCTCTTCTGGCTCTGCTTTTGTCGACCACTGTGCCTGGACCACTGAAATGACAGCCTGTCTCTTCTTGTTGAAATCCTTTTTCTTTAGGACCCAGCTAGCTCCCTTCTTTCTTGAATCTTCTTTGGAGTTTTACCCTGGTCACTCAGTTAGAAGTGATTCTTGCCTCTTCATATCTCTATTGTTCTTTTCTGTGTTTTTATATTCTTATTTGCATTCTAATTATGTGTTCATGTTTTATTTGATACCCCACTTACCCCATATTGTGATTTTCTTGAGGACAAAGACTGTGTCATTGTTCCATCTTTTTATCCACAAAGCATAGCACCTTGTGTTTGCTTCTACCATTTTTCTCCCCGCTCTCCCCAGCCTCTTGAAAAATATACCCATTTCTTGAAACTCTACTCACATGTTATCACTTCTGTGATGTCTTCTCTGATCTTTCTATTTTTGGGCCTCCCTAAGATTTATACCTCTTATTTATGCTCTGTTTTGAATTGTAGTCTTTTGTATGTCATGTATTCTGCTAGATTGTAAGTTTGATGGAGGCAGGGACCATTTTTTTAACTTAGTATAACTTTCAGTGCTGAGCTTAGCTTTCTGAGGGTAATAGTTCCTTGAGTTAAAATGTTGCTGTGTTATGAGAGAGGATGTTTTCTCTTGCTTTCTTATAGGGTAAGTCATAAATAGCTGCCTTCCAATGAACTGGTTCCTAATTTTGCCACACTAAAGCTCTGGCGTTTTGCATCAGAATCAGCTAATTTTGAAACGTGATGCTGAATCTCTTACTTGGCAGCTTGGCTTGTTTGGGGGAATGCGATGACGCATGTGCCTTTTTTTTAAAGTGAGGAGTGTTGACAGAAACTCAATCCTGATTGAGGGTAAAGGAAAGCATCCAGTTCCCACCATGCCTGCAGCTCTGTTAACAGTTGGTTTTGGCCTTGGCTTATTCCATTTCCCACTTAGCTCCTGTGGGCTTTAAAAAAACTTTCTGTGACCTGAATTTGCCCAAGGTACTTACCTTGGTTGAAATATTGGTGTCATTTCTGTACTTAAGTCACTTGACCTCAGTTTCCTCATCTGTAAAATGAGGAGATTCTCTTAGCACCCCCCCCTTCCACTGGCACTCTGATCACATTGCCAGTTAAGCAAAACAATTGTTTTAATTGAAGAGGGTCAAGTTAGGCTTTTATGGAAGCAGAGGGAAGAAAAGGGTCTGGTTTGCTGGTATATGAATGTAATGCAATATTTTTTAACATTAAGAAATATGAGGAATTCATATTCAAGGAAACATGGGAAAATCAAGCTGTGATATGTTCAGGGTCTCCTGCATACCCCAGGTTCAGTGGCCTAGAAAATATAGCAACTCAAGAAGACAAGTTAAGTTGGCTTCAGGGCAACACTTGTTACCATAAAAGTCCTGCTATAAATATTTTGGTATATGTTAGAACTTTGTTTTTGTCTTTAACTTCCTTAGGGAATATGATCTGTCATGGAATTTCTAGGTCAAAGAGCGTTAACAGTTTGCTTACTTTTATTGCATAATTCCAAATTCTTATCCAGAATGATTGGTCAATTCACAGTTCTGCAAAAATACTAAGATTCATTTTTAAAGTTCACCTAAATATAGGTTAAGTACTTCTCTCTGTGGTGTCTTTTTTTTTTTTCCAGAAGCAATTATCTTTCTGGGAGTTTATGACTTGACTATAAGCTTGGTGTTTGGTTTTAGGAAAAACCCTTCTGTATAAAAATCTGAAAGAAATGCATTTGCTCCATAGGAGGTTGCTTTTAACAGTGAGATATTTAAAATGGGATTTCATTGATGAACATGGTTTATGGACATCTTTAGTGCTCAGGCACTAAACTTAAATTATGTTAGAACTAATAGGTCTGCATGATGAGCTAGTGTTGATTTAGCAGAAATCTAGGCTCTGCTAGCCTGTGAAGAAGTGTGTTTAGGGAGATCCAAAAATCCGTATCTGGTTTTGTAGCTCTTAAAAGGTTAAAAAAAAAATCAAACCAAAAGATACTGTATAAGGTGTTTTACAAGAGTCTAAGGTGCTGTATAAATTTCGGATATTAGTGTTAAATATTCTTATCTTTGCACACCTCCCACCTTGTTTCAGTCCCACAGTCTTGAGTTGCTGTTTTCAAAATGCTATGAGAGGTTGATGGATCGCATTCTCTCCTCTTACCTCCTTCCCTTTTCCCCCTTTGGTCTCTTCCATCACATTCCAGCCTGGGAAGCATGCCCAGTGACCTGGGGTAGACATTGAATCATGGAAATTTTAGATTTTTCCCATGCCCACTAATGTTTGGTTTGCCCAAGTAGGAAAACCGTATAAGATTGTTGGGTACAATCCTCCTCCAAGATTGTCCCAGGGGCATTTTAATCATCATCACTGAGGAATAGTTTGAGAGCCAGTCATATCCTGCTGAATGGCTCCTTGGTAGTGGTGCTTTGAATGAAAATGGAGGGAGAAAAGAAGCCACTAGTAGTTTAATACTAGTAGTTTAACTAGAAATAGAGACTCCAGTTTATCTGGCCTCCAGTTAGAAAGATAAAAAGAAAGGATAGGAGCTCTCTTTTACACTTTTTGGGCTTTCCTTTTTCTAGCTCTTTTGGAACTTGTCTGTAGAAAGACTTTAAAGTAGAGCAGAAAAAGTATTATATGTAGATTTGGGAAATCTGGGTTAAAATCCTAGCTTTGACATTTGTTGTGTTACCACAAACAAATCCTTAACCTTTCTGAATGTCTGCCTTGTGCCTTTTTCCTCCACTTCTTTTTCTCAAGCTTCCTTTTTCTTCCCTTCCCTCTTAGTATCTTTCTTTGCTCCTGTCTCTCAGCCTTAGCTAATTCTGTCTTTTTGCCTATTCTGCCCCTCCCTGTACCTCAGCCTCATTCCCTCTCGACTTTTCTCTCTCTTTCCTTTTCTCCTTCCTTCTGCCTCCCAGCGCGGCCAGGATCCCTCATCCTTCCTTCATTTGACCTGCCCATCCTTTCCACCTGTCTTTGGGAGGCTTCTGGGTATAGTGCAAAGGGCACGTAGGTTCACATCCCACCTATGGCACTTATTCTCGGTGTGACTTGGGGCAAACCACTTTATCACCCTGTGTGATTTGGGAAGTGGACAAGGTGGCCTCTGCTCCCTTCTGGCTCTGGATCAATGATGCCTTATTAGCTTTTTTCCCTTTCATAACTAAACTCCCAAAAAGAGTTATCCATACTTGTTTTCTCCATCCTCCTAAATACTCTCATTTCCCTTGGGGTCTGTGATATTACCTTCTCTTGGCCTTGCCTGCCTCTCTCTCTTCTGTTACTCTATTTCCTTTGCTGGATCACCACTCATCTTCAGCCTTTTGAACATTAGTGTCCTTCAGTGCCCTAAATGCCATCTGTCTTCCCTACCTTGTCAGCTCCCCTAGATTCAGTTATCACCTCCATGGCAATGACTCCTAAAAACTTCCCTCCCAGGCTCTCTCCTGAACTCCTGTCTGATACCCCAGCTTCTGCTGGATGTCACTTGTGTGTCCCGTCAGGATCACTGATGGAACTTGCCTTTCAGGCAGCATGGTATGGTGGGAAGAAACTAGATTTGATATCAAAAGGACGTGGGCTTGAATCCTTGCTCTCATACTTAGGGTTCCTTGTATGACACTGGCCATTTCAGTTGACCTTTTTGGGCTTGAATTTCCATGTCAATAAAATAAGGGAATTGGATTATATGACTTCTACCATCCCTTTCACCTCTAGGCTTGTGATTGTCTCCAAAACTACCCTTCCTCCAAACTTCTTCCTTTCTGTATAGTGCACATTCATCATCTCTGTCAGCCATGTACACAATCTTGGTGTCATCTTGAGTCTTTCTTTTCCATCTGCCTGTCCCAAAACTTCCCAAGTCTGGATTCTACCTCTGTGTTGCCGCAAATCAGTCGGTTCTCCACCATCCTACTTGAGGTCTTCATCATCTTTCACTATGGTAATAGTCTCCTTGCTTCAGTTTTCTTCCCCCCTCCAAGCTATCTTCTTCATAGCTGCCTAAGTAATCTTCATTAGGCCTGGGTTGTACCATGCCACTAAGCTGCCCTACAGCCTTCAGTGAAGTCCTCATGGCCCCTAGGGGAAAATAGAAACTCCACACTGCCCTGACACACCAGAGGGCTGTAACCGCCTTCACTAGCTAGACTTCATGTCCTCTCTTTTGTACATTCTGCATGATTGACGAACTGAGCTTGTGCTTGTTCCAGGCCTTCATGCAAACTCTTCTCTGTGCCTGCTTTTCTCTGCCCCAGAATCCTTCCTTTCTTCAGGGTTCAGCTCATTTGCCACAGCTTCAGGGAAATCTCTACTAACTGCTCTCTTTCCTTTCCCACCCTCACCCCCCTCCCCAGTTGCTTAGTGCTCTCTCCTGTTTCAACTTATCTTAAATTTACTTTTCTAGGTTGATTTTGTATCTTAGACTATTATTTCTTTGAGTTCAAGGCTTATTTAATTAAAAAAAATTTCTATCAAAATGCCTTTTATGTAGTATGCACTTAGTACATGTTAGTTATATTGAATTGAATTTGTTGACAGCAAGATTGCACCATATCACCAGGTGCTGAAATACCTCCAAGGTAAGGAAACATCGTCTTATGTCATTGTTTCCCAGACTAATTTTACTGCAGAATGTGCTATGGAATATACCCACAAAACAGAGGGATTTGAAAAATTTGAAGGCAATGTGGAAGAAATCAATTCTGTTTTATACCAGAAAGTGGATTAAGGATTTTTGATATAAACATGTTATTTAAAATTTAAATTGGAAAAATATTGCTAGCATCATAATAATTTTCTCATGCAGCCTTTTCCACCACATTTCATTGAGTACATTTTGACTACTTCATGGTCCCACTCATAACTTGTTTCTTCCTCAGACAGTGATTGCACCAGCTAGAGGGACTTGCTTCTGAATAAAGAAGCGGCTGCGACGATGTCCCAGAGCAAAGCCTCTTATACCTTTGATGCTCCAACGGCCTTCATCAATTTCACATCTTTGAATAATGAAGATATATATAATGTGGACTCCTGGTTTGGTAGGTATCTGCTTTCTTTGGCAGCCTTGAGGACAGTGTATGTGCCAGTTGACATCCTTTTCTGCTTATATTAAGTATTCATTCTAGTTGTACCCCCTTTGTTATAAGGAGGTTTATTTATTGCCTGTGAAACTAAATTCCCAGTCAATCAGTAAACATTTGTTAAGTGCCCCGTGTGTGCCAGGCATTGTGCTAGGTTGCTGGGGATAAGAAGGAGCTCACATTCTATTAGTAGGAAACAGTGTGTGCGTGCGTGTGTGTTAATTTTTGGGGGGTGAGAAGGTGCTAGTAGCTGGGAGAGTCATGAAGAATGAGGTGTTTGGAGGAAATGAGGAGTTTTGAGAGGTAGAGGTGAGGAGGATGTGTACTCCAGGCGTAGGGGAGAGCCTGTATAAAGGCATGGCTGTGGGAGATGGAGCATGGTGTGAAGAACTTCAAGAGGGCGTGAAGAGGAGTGGTGTGCACAGAGCTGCAGGTAGGCTGGAATGAGGTTATGCAGGGCTTGAAAATCAACCCAGAGCGTTTGTATTTGATCCTAGCAGTAGGTAGGAGCCAGTGGAGTTTATTGATCAGGGCAGTGATGTGGTCAGACCTGTGCATTTGAAGAGTGTCATTTTGGCAGCCATGTGGAAGATGGATTGGACAGGAAAGAGTCTTGAGGACAGAATAGGATTCTCTTTATATTTATTTTGGACCCTATCGAAAGTGCCAAATGGGAAGTCAATTCTTAAACTTAAGTTATTTATTATTATCTTTATTTAAAGATCTCTTTTTATTGGTACCTTGCTTTGTGTTTGTGTCAGGCTAAATGCTTGGAAGAATAACTGCAATGGTCACACCATGCTTTTGTTCAAAGAAAACAGAGGTTTGGGTGGGGGTAAATGTTGAAGCATAGAGTGCAGGGGCTATGGCTAGACTGCAATTCATGTGACTTAGAGCAAGACCTAGTGTTAAAAAGTCATTGTGAATGCAGTGTGGTTGCTTAAAAAACCAGCGTGATCTTAGTCCACATGAATAGAAAGGGGGGAGGTTATAGGCCCTCTGTCCTCTGCCATGGCCAGGTCATGTCTGCAACCTTATGTTTCACATCTTAAGGAAGGTCATTGACAAGCTGGATCAAGTTGGAGTACACTACAAACCACAGAAAACAAATAGATAAGGAACTTGTGAAATAGCTCACAAGCCAGGAAAGGGAAGGGAATAAGCATTTGTATAGCACCTACTATGTGCCAGGCACGGCACTAAGCGCTTTACAGATGTTTTCTCTGATCCTTACAACAGCCCTGGGAGGTAGGTGCAATTATTCTTCCCATTTTATAGTTGAAGAAACTGAGGCAGACAGGTTACTGTGACCTGCCCAAGGTTACACAGCTAGTAAGTGTCTGAGGCTGGATTTGAACTCAGATCTTCCTGACTCTAGGCCAGTGCTTTATCCCCTGTGCCACCTAACTGCTTGGCACTGCAATATTACTGTGTTGTAGTGGTGTCAGTTATTTTGACTTTTTCCAAAGTTATCTTCCTCTTCAAAAACAGAACAGCTAATGATCTGTTGACTTGTTTGTAATTTTATCCTTCAAAAAGTAGTGGATATAAATAAGGGGGATTTCTATTCTGGACCTGATTGTCGCCAGGAAAAAAGAACTATTGTTGGGATTTTCATCCATTTTCATGATGGAAATCTTGGGGGATACACAACCATTCAGTTTTAGAATTTGTGACAGAAGAGAAGAAAGCAAGACATACACCTTCAGTTTTTAGGAGAGCACATTTCATAGGGTTTAGAGAAAAGATAGGTGATCCTGTGATCTCATGGACTAAAATTCTACAGGGGAAGCCGGCCCAGGAAGGCTGAAGCCCTCAGGAGTAGAATTCTGAAGACAGAAAGAGAAACTATTCCAATGAAGAGGTAAAGGGGTAGTTGTCTGAAAAAAGACCTGTGTGGATACAGAGGATCAAACAACTTAAGACTATGGAAAGCTGTGTACAGAGAATGGAAGCAAAGGCAAGATATGCCACAAACACAAGATTCCATGGTCTTGCAACAATGGTGGGGTCTGCTGATGTTCAGAATGAGCTGAGGGTGGCAAATAAAGCAGAGCATAATGGGGAAAGGTTTTAAGTAGCATTGGGCTGAGAGGGAGAAGAGGGTCAAAGAAAAGGTGTCAGGAGTTTGGCTTTGTGGGGGTGGGATGCTGGTAGATAACAGAACACAGAGCTTGCTGTTTGACTCATATTTTTCTTGTTTTTTCCTCTCAAAGAGAATGATCTCTCTCCTAGGAAAAACAGAAAAATGGCTAATAAGGAATTGATACCCAGTACACCAGGAGATAATAGGAGAGCACCTGCCTTGGAATTTGTCACCAAGATGAGATGAACTATGTTCTAGGGCACTGAAAGAATTGGCAGATTTGATTACTGAAGCACTGTTAGTGACCTTTTCAAAGATTATGGAGTTTGGGAAGAGTACCACAGGACTGGGTAATGGCAGATGTCCTGATTTTCAAAATAAAAGGGAAGAGAGGAAGCCTAGAAATTGTTGGCCAGTGAGCTTAATTTAGATTTCTGGGAAAATTCTGGATTAAAGAGATGATGAGTGGGCATCTGGAAGAGGAAATAGTGATTACAAAGTCAATATAGTTTCATCCAAACAAGTCTTGCTAGACTATTTCCCCTGTTTTGGAGCAGGATTATTTGGTGGGTAGATCAGGAGAGTGCTGCAGATTTTAGCAAAGCATTTGACAGGCTCATGCTAGCCTATGGGAAAGATAGAAGAGATAAGTTATAATATAGATAGGTGATATGTAATCTATATTCTAATAATGTTACATCACAAATAACATAATATAAATATATTACTATAATATAGCATGTATAAAATATGTGTCTATGATATAGATAGGTGATATATAATCTATAATCTAATAATGTTACATCACAAATAATAAGTATGTTACTATAATATAGCGTGTATAAAATATATATTTATGATGTAGATAGGTGAATCTGGAGCTGGTTGAATGACACAGCTCAAAGAATTTAGCTATTAATGGCTAAAATTAGTTTGGAAGGAGATCTTTACTGCATTGTTATAGATTCTGCCTTTAGTTTTGATATTTAATATCAGTGACTTGGATAGGTCCAAAAATCGTGTACTGATCACATTTGCAAATAAGACAGCTGGAGAAAAAGCACATTGGATGACAAAGTCAGGATCCAAGAAGATTTCTACAGGCTAGAATATTGAACTGAAGCTAAATAAATACAGTTTCATGTGACCAAATGTAAAGCTTTATATTTGGGTCCAGAAGAGATTAACTTAATGAGAACAGGAAGGGGTGGGGGTGCATGGCCAGTTAGCTAACAGTTTGTCTGTAAAATATCTGGTTGTTTTAGTTTACCTTAACCTATTGATAGTTAATACTGTGATATGGTAGTCAGAAATTTTTAATAGAATCTTAGAGTACATTGAGAAGCACAGGTACAGCACAAGGGAAGGAAAAGTCTTATTGTACTCTGCCTTGGCCAGACTGTGTGATGAGTTCTAGGTACCTCATTTTAGGAAGAACATTGATAAGTTGAAGATCATGTGAAGATTGTTAATCGAGACAGTGAAGGGCCACCTTATGATGTTGAAGAGCCTTGGAATGTTTAGCCTGGGGAAAGGACATAGAAAGGATTTGAGAGGCTATCGTGTGAAAGACAAATGAAACTTGTTCCATTTGACCCTCAAGGGCAGAATTGGGGACAGTGGGTGGGAATTGTAAGTCGGCTAAATTTAAGCTTGAAATAAGGAAAAAAATTCCTAAAAATTTGGAGCTCATCCAAAGTGAAATGGACTGCCTTAGGAGGTAGCTGATTCCCCCTCACTAGAGGGCTTCAAGCCAAAACTGGATGACTGTTTGTCAGGAATGCCCTACAAGGGATTGTGTTAAAGCATGGCTAGACAGGGTGGCCTCTGAGTTAGTTCCCTTCCAACTTATGATCCTCTATGCCCATAGGAGAGCAACCAGAAGGGTAGGAAGACTGAAGACCAATGTCGTATAAGCGTCAGTTGGTTAGCCTAAAGAGGGGAAAATATAAGGGAGGCATGGTGATTATTTTCAGATGTTTGAGGAACAATTATATGGACACTGTAGACTTATTTTGTGTACCATTTTACTGGAACAGATCTCAGCTCAGTCTAAGGAATGATTTCCAAATAATTAAGGGGTGTTAAAAAAATATGATTAATTACCGTCAGTGTCTAGGTGACTGACCAATTTGAGCTGGCCTTTGTATCTGCTTCTCTTAAAAGGAGTCTAATATTTTATTGCTCTGAATAATGGCCATACTTGTTCTACCCAAATATAGCTTGTCTAAAACCTGAGTGTAACCTATGACTGTTGTTATTTTTCTTTTTGTGTCCATCTACTTTACTCCTAAAGAGATCTCATTTTAGGCATGTCACCTTTTTTGGGAACAATAAAGAAGAGCCTGTTAGTAGTGTAGAGAGTAGATGAAGATATAACCTCCAGTAGGGTTATCTCCTCCCCATCGCTCCATTCCATGTCCTTGACGTCTCAGAATATACTGGTATAAAATACTGAGAGAGCCTGTCATAAGGTCTTTGTTGCTTTTTGAGCTCTTGTTTGACCTGGGTTTCTTCTTTCCAGCAGAGCCCTGACTGCCTGCCTGTGTTGGGTTGTATTCTCAGCTGCCCCTGGCAACATTTTTTTTTTGAAGTGAGGCAGTTGGGGTTAAGTGACTTGCCCAATGTCACACAGCTAGTGAGTGTCATGTGTCTGAGGCTGGATTTGAACTCAGGTCCTCCTGACTCCAGGGTCCGTGCTGTATCCGCTGCACCACCTAGCTGCCCCTATGGCAACATTTCTTAATGCCACAAAACTTTCAGCAACAGCCAGTAGACCCGAGACCTAAGAGAGAAGCACTCTTGTAGGAGACCAGCTATGCAGCTGAGATTTGGAATCTCCTTGTAGATGAAATAGCATGACCTTTAGATAGCTTACAAATCTCTTAGATATTAAAGCCTTGCCACTACATTTTCTTAAGAAAATCACGATATAGTTAAGTTGTAGATAACACCAGGTCAGGCCTATAAAACGTCCATTGATTACAGTGCTGAATCCTTACTTTCACTATTCTCTAGCGTTTTGTGAAGTATCTTCAATATCTTTGGTAGAAATTTGATCCTAAGCAGTCCTTCACCCTCTTTCTGTGGGATCACATTTAGATTTGTCGTCCCTATGGTCCACAAGATTCTTTGTTTTATTTTGTGAATGTTTTCTTTGAGTATAAACTGGTAAGGGTTTTAGGTATCCTTCCAGGTGAATGTGCATGTTTGGCATGGCATTGACTTGTACTTTCTTACCTGTTATTTGTTCCAGCTGTAGCTTAAGATATGCCACATACCTTCCATGTGACCCTGGGCAAATCACCTAAGCTGTCAGAGCCTTAATTTATCTATAAACTGGGAGTACGTGGTGCTAATAGGGCTGTCCCATAAGTTTGTTGTGAATAAAGGGTTCTGTAAACTTTAAAGTGCAGTCTAATTGTGAGTATTTATCAAAGTGATCAAGGTGATCTTGCTTTTCTACAGAGGAGAGGGCCAATTTGGAGAACAAGCCTCCTGAAGATGAAGAAGTACCAGGGCCCTCCTATAGGACGACACCTTTGAGAAAGGCCCATGTACCCCAAGCAGTTGTCCTGCCTCTGAGATCAGGTGAGTGGCCCGGAAAGAAAAGATATCATAGAGAGAGATGAAATGGCAGCACAGATGAGGTGTGAGTTTAGATCTTCGCTCTGTTGCCAACTTAAGTGATCTGGAGAATAAGCTAAGTGCTCTGTGTCTTGGTTTCTTCTCTGAAATGGTAAAAACCTATTTACAATATAATAGATATGAAACCCATGAAAATTCTATATAAATTTTATTTTAAAATTTTATTTCATTTTATATTTAGTTCAGTTTTGTCTAATTTTCAGTCCCAAATTCTCTTTCCTCTCTCCTTCCCCCATCCATGAGAAAGTAAGAAAAAACCAATTACAAATAAGTATAGTCATGCAAAACAAATTTCAACATTAGTCACATTCCAAAGGGGGAAAAAAAGGCAAGAAAGATAGCAAAAAATATGCTTCAGCCTTGAATCAGTCAGCTCTCATTCTGGAGGTGCACAGCAGGTTTCATCATCAGTCCTTTGTAATTTTGGTTGGTCATTGTATTGATCACAGTTACTACGTCTTTCAACGTTGATTAACTTTATAATATTGTTGTTATGGTATAAATTGTTCTTCTGGTTCTGCTTACTTCACTTCATACAGGTTTTCCTAGGTTTTTCAGAAACCTCAATTTAATTTTTTAAGGCTTGACCTATCTATCTTGGCCAAGCTGGAAGTTCTGGGGCCCAATCCTACTATGGATTGGCCCAGGAATTTTTTTTTTTTTTGGTTAGGCAATGGGGTTAAGTGACTTGCCCAGGGTCACACAGCTAGTAAGTGTTATGTGTCTGAGGCCGGATTTGAACTCAGGTCCTCCTGAATCCAGGGCCGGTGCTCTATCCACTGCGCCACTTAGCTGCCCCTACACCACTTAGCTGCCCCCACAGGAATTTTTAACCTGCTGTTTCCAACCTGGGCTGCTTTGCTCTCTTTAGGCAACCTGGGGACCTCCCACTCCCAGGGTCTGTCTGTGTTGTTGAACTTAGTGCAGACACTCAAATCAGCATAGTCTCCTACAGCTCAGAACTCCTAAGCTGAAAAGATCTGTCAGCCTTAGCATTCCCATGTGTTGGCATCTGCCACCAAACCCAGCTATGTGAATATGGCATCATTGGGGGGAAATTGGACTGCTACAGGACAATTGACCATCACTTAATCTTAAGTATCTCCTATAGTACTGCTAACAGAAAATTTACTCATATTCAGGTTTTGAACAAATAACGTCATCCTGCTCTGGTCATTATTTGGTTTGACAAGAACAGGATTTTATGTATAGTGTTAAAAGCCAGTGGAACAGCATTTTTGCACACATGGAGTAAAGAAGATGACTATAATTAATTGCTATTTAGAGAAATTAACTCTGATGGACTTTGAGTACTGGAGTTGATCATTGTGGACTGGATAACTTACTGCCACTGTAAGGCCAACTTTATCAGATAAAGCCAGGTAGAAGGAATCTCAAGGTAGTTTACTTCTATAGTCACAGTCTCTGTTCTGTTCTCACTTTTGAAGCGGTTAATTGAAATGAGGGAAAGAATTACATGGTGAAAGCATACTTTTCCTGCAAAGTGGAAATAACATCTCAGAATAACATCACGGAATTTGATTCTAAAGTGTTAACGACATTCTGACATTCTTTGTTGGCATAATATTACATAAGGTATGCCTGTATTGTGTGGTTTAATTCTTTTCCTGTTTGGTCATCTGTCCAGCCCTAAGTTTAACTCAGGTTAAACCTTATTATAAAACTATAAAACACCCACTGTGCATGCATACTTTGTCTGAGTCATGTATCTAGTTTCAAAAAGATGACCAGTGTCTAAATTGCTGGTTACCAAATACAAGCTCAGAATCTTGTCCATTTGGTCACAACATAAGCATCTTTTAAGAGGTCATAAATCCCTGTTGTTTATTTCAACATCAAGAGCCTCTTTAAGTGTAAATCTGAAACTGACCCCAATCGCGTCATTAACTAGATCTGTGGTATCACACAAATGACTGTCCTTCTAACGAACCTGTCTTCCCTACATGGCCTGAGCTGTTAGAATGACTTGAAGTCTATTAATTATGTCAGTTGATTCATGAAGATAGGCAATATCATCCATCCAACAAGTGTTAACTTAAGTATAGACTTCTGGGTAGTGCGTTCTACTTGGAAGTGGAAGAGCAACAAAGATTAAATAAGACTTGATCCTTACCTTCAAGGTAATAATTTATTCTCGTAGAAGGTAAGGCGTATATACAGAGAAGAGTTTAATTTACATCATTTTAACATTTATAAGAAGTGAATATTCTACATTCTTAGGACTATTTGTATATGTCTTATCTGCTCTATGAGACTGCAAGCTCCAGGATGGGCTGTTTTCTATTGTTTTAAAAAAATTTCTCATAACTTCTAGCGCAGTATTTTGCCTGTGGTTGGCCCTCAGCAAATTTTTGTTGAATGACTTAAGTACTGTGTACTTATTTGGTCTTTGTGTTTCCTTTGATTAGAAAGAGATGTAATGTTTACCCAGTTTCTCTCTCTCTCTCTCTCTCTCTCTCTCTCTCTCTCTCTCTCTCTCTCTCTCTCTCTCTTTCTCCCCCTCTCTCTCCCTCTCTCTCTCCCCCCCTTTAAAAAAATCCAGGGACTTGCACAGAACAGAACAATAAAAAAAGTCCAAAATGAGTAGCAATAATTTATAGAAACTCCACCCCCAAATCCAGACCCTCACTCCCAGCCTTTCACTTACTATTTTTTAACAATTCTAGCAAGACTCATTGTCTGCTTTCTTAACCTGTAGTAAATTAGAGGTGGGAGGGGCACGTTGCAGGAAATTAGCTGAAAGAAATGAGGACTGACAATTTAACGGTTAGGAAGGAAGAAGGGGAAAATGGTGAAAAGCTTACACAACTTCAAAAACATAGCAATATGGGATAATTCATTGTAGAGACAAAGAGTCCTGCATACCTCAAAGGTCCCCAAGGGCAGTGTTGTATTATAATGCAGTGTTTGTAAAGACAACCCTTGAGGCACCAAGAAAAGTTAATATTATGTTAACTGCATAATTTAAGAAGGCAGGATAGTAAGCTTTTGCAGTGTTTAGACTTGACATTTTGGTGGAAGTCCCCATTTCCTGACTACAGAGAAGCTAGTTCAGGTTTTTAAAAACTAAATTATGAAACAAACCATTACTTAAAAACAAATAAATCCCCAAACTCCCCTTGGTGCTGTATCTGTAATTTATAAAGAAAGGAAACTGGAAAGTCTTTTGGATTTAAAGTCAGAAAGGCAAGACTTGTGACCGTGTCAAGTTGTTGAACTTTGTTGTACTTTCTTCGTATATGAAATGAGGTTAATAATACTTACTTTATCTACCATAAAGACTTATTTTGAGAGATCAAATGAGCTAATATATAAAGCATTTTGTAAAACACAAATGCTATATAAATAACTATTGTTTTTATTGCAAGTATTGAATACTAACATGAGCATTTTTACCCACTGAGTAGTCCTTTGCTCTCTCTAGGGGTCTATTATATGCAATTTTATGTATTTAAAATTTTGCATTTAAAAGACTTCTTCTATGAAGGAGGTCCATAGTCCTCAACAGACCACCAGAGAGGTCCAGGGGACCATACACACAAAAAAAGAAGAGCCCCTGATCTGCAGCACTTTTTTACTCTTCTTTTGTCTTACATCTTTGGTTTCCTGTGCTGACTCTGTGTCTAATACATATATAGATACATATGCATGACTCTTTGTTTTTCCATTTCTCAATGTAGTCGCCAACACTTATGTGGAAACAGAGAATCCATCAGAAGAATGTGCTCCGTCGGCTGCTTGCTACTCCTTAGGCTTCCAGGAAACTACCTCCAAAAATGCCCCTGTTTTGGGATCCCTCGTTCCAGGCCAGTCCCAAAGGTAATACCAGTGCTTGGGAGCCAAGAATGGGTTCAGACGTCAAGGCTGGGCTTAAGCGGACAGAGGCAGCACGTCTCTACTGAGCCCTGGACACGTGGGGATTGCACTTCCTAGGACAGATGGTGCCTCTGTCCTCTTCTCCTGGCGCGGACTCCTGTCTCTCCTCCTCTGCTCGGAATGGATTCTCCCCATCACTCCCTGCCCCAGTCTTTCTCTAAAGTTCTTCTTTTCCTTCAAAGCTTAGTTCTGCTGGCTTCTCCATGAAAACTTCTTTGATTCTCTTCTCCCAACCCTTGGAAATGCTTTTTCCATCCTCATATATGCCCCAACTCTCCTTTGTATCCTATTTATTGTAGGTGGTGTTCCTCTTCCCATTACCATTTGGTCCCTGAAGGCAAGAATTTGAAGCCAAGAACTTGGGTGTGTCCTTAGCACTTAGCACAGGACCTAAAACATCTGAGAGACAATTAATTAAATGCTTGTTTAACTGAATGGCATACTAAAATAATAGCTTTTTGCTGCAAGAATTAAGCTGCACTTGAAGATTCTTTATGTCTTAACAGAGTATTGTAATAGAGTGTCTACATTCAAATTGCATTTTTGTTGCCTTGTTTCCTGCCTAGTAATAAAATTCCCTTGTAATTTACAGGTCCAGGGTTCCTGCTTATTGGGTTGTGTGAGTTGGTGCCATCCTAACATGCCCGCCATGTATTTTAAACTAATCTCAAGGAAACAGGAAAGCAGAGCATTTGTTTTTTTTTTATAGCATAGCTAGGTGGAAGAAATGACAGATTAATGGTGCCGGGAACCAATGTCCTCTGGGCAGGTGACACTGGGACTGCTATTGCTTAAGCACAGCATTTATCAGCTCAGAAAAATCACATTTTGGGAAGGGAATCTCAGTCTTACTTAATTTCAAATTGAATCAGAAGACGCCACGCAGGTGGAGTACACGGCAGCAGTCTTACTGTTCTTTGTTAGATGTTCATGGGGCTTTTTAGAGTTATGATGTCATATACCTAGAACTGGAGGGCTCCTCAGAAACTTTGGGGTCCAGGCACCTCATTTTACATATCAAGAAACTGAGGCTTGCAGGGGCTAAGTGGTTTGCTGTGTCTACAGAAGGAGAAAGCATCAGAGGCTGGATTTGAATTCGGATCCTCTGACTCTCAAGCCAGTTCCCTTTCTATCACAGGTGCTGGTTTTCATGGTTTGTTGTCTTGGGTAGGCTGAGACTCAAACCTGACAGAAAGAGGCTAGGAGCAGTTCTGTTGGCATCTTTAGTTACCTCTTAAATGTTTCATTTTATCTTTGACAGAGGTCTGTCATGTGGTTACCATGAAGATATTCCCCTTTTCTAGCCATATCCTGGACATCCTTCAGGGAGAGAGCAGGGAGGCAGGAAAGGATGGCATGTACAAACAAGTTTCTATGTTATTTTCACATGCGTTCAAGTAATAGGCTAAGAATAACTAAAAACCCTGTTAGCTACAGTAAACAATGAGAGGGTTTTTTTTTCTTTTAGTATTGCTGTAGGAGAGGTTAGTTTGTACTAACTCAAGCTTTACTGTGAATGTAGTAGGTTTTAACTTTTGATTAGTTAGCTAATAAGAATTTATGAAGTGCCTGCTATGTACCAGGCACTACTAAGTGCTAGGGATACAAAAAGTGGCAAAAGACATTCCCTGCCTTCAAAGAGCTTATGATCTAAGAGGAGACAACAAGCAAACAAATATGCAAACCAGCTATATCCAGGATAAATAGGAAATAATCAACAGAGCCACTAAAATTCAGAGGGATTAGAAAAGACTTCCTGTGGAGCATGGGATTTTAGCTGGGACCTGAAGGAAGCCAGGGAATCCCAGGGAGAACATTCCAAGTGGCTGGGGACAGCCAGGGGAAATACCTGGAGCCAGAGTTGGAGTGCGAACATTCCAAGTGGCTGGGGACAGCCAGGGGAAATACCTGGAGCCAGAGTTGGAGTGCAGAGGAGAGACGGATGGGTCATGAATGGGTGGGAGGTGTATTCAAGAGATGTTGCAAAGGCGAAATTGACAGACCTTGGCGACAGATGGGCTGTGGGGGGGTGAGAGATAGTGAGGAGTCAGAATGACTCTTAGACTTTGAACCTGAGGGCCTGGGAGATGGTATTGCCCTCCACAGAAATGGGGAAGTTAGGAGGGTAGAAGTTTTAGGGGGAAAGATAATGAATTTGGTTTTGGACATGTTGAGTTAAGATGTTGCAGAACGCCTTGGGTGCACACAGCTTTCCCAGCCCTGCAAAGGGCCTTCCTTGTGTTGGCTGAGTAGAGCCTCTTAGTTTCATTCTTAACTCCCTGTGTGATTTTTTGCTGTCTTATCCTAAGAAATGTTTTCTAGCTGATTAATTTGCTTTATTGTATTACCTGGCCTCTTTTGAAATGTATTTTCTTGATGATTTTGTAAATATCACTGTCCTTCTTAAATCCTTCCCCGCCTCCCAGTAGAACTCTCCTTTGTGAGAGATAAATATAGTCAAACAAAACAGATTGACACATTGGCTAGTCCTGAAAATGTATCTTGGATTTCCTCACGCTCATTCACCCAGGCTTCAGTGGGCTTACTTGTCCCTTACAGCCCTCAGGCCCTTTGTGGCTGTGATGTTGTGATACTATTCTTTTCCACTAATCTGCTGTATAACATTAAGAAACCTCTGTTTTATTGTGGAATGTACAAGTTGTGTAGCAAATATTGAAATCAAGAAGAGACTTAATAAAGCACTTCCGTATTCCCCCAGAATTGTGATCTCACTGATGTGGATATAAGTTACTTTCTTTTTGAATATATTTTTAAAATTTTTTGGATATTTTATTTTTTCCCCAATTACATTTGCAATTTTGAGTCTCAACTTCCCTTCCTCCTTCCCTCCTCCCCCTCCTTGAGACAGCAAGCAATTTTGATATAGGTTATCCATGTTTAATCATGAAAAACATTTCCACGTTAGTCATGTTGTGAAAGAAAACACTGCCCAAGGAGGAAAAACACACACAAAAGTAAAGAAAATGAAAAATAATATCCTTTGATCTGCATTCAGACTCCATCAGTTCTTTCTTTGGAGGTGGATCGCATTTTTCATCATGAGTCCTTTGGAATTGTCCTGGATCATTGTATTGCTGAGAATAGCTAAGTCACTCACAGTTGATCATTGGACAATATTGCTGTTACTGTGTACAGTGTTCTCCTGATTCTGCTCACTTTACTTTGCATTCGTTCATATAAGTCCAGGTTTTTCTGAAATCACCTTGCTTGTCATTTCTTGTAGCACAATCTTATTCCATCACGATCATGTTCAGCCATTCCCCAATGGATGGGCATCCCTCAATTTCCAATTCTTTGCCACCAGAAAAATAGCTTCTATAAATATATTTGTACAAATAGGACCTTTTCACTTTTTTTTGTCCTTTGATATCTTTGGGATACAGACCGAGTAGTAGTATTTCTAGATCTAGGGGTATGTACAGTTTTGTAGCCCTTTGGGCATAGTTCCAAATTGCTCTGCAGAATCATTGGATCAGTTCACAACTCTACCAGTAGGGCATTAGTATCTCATTTTTCCCACATCCCTTCCAACATTTGTCATTTTCCTTTTCTGTCATACTAACCAATAATTTGTGAGGTGGTACCCCACAGTTGTTTTAATTTGCATTTCTCTGACCCATAGTAATTTAGAGCATTTTTTCATGTGACTATAGATACCTTTGATTTCTTTCTCTGAAAACTGCCTGTTCTTATCCTTTGACCATTTATCAATTGGGGAGTGACTTATATTCTGATAAGCTTGACTCAGTTCTCTATATATTTAAGACATGAGGCCTTGATCAGCTTTCTGCTTGCTTTCTGATCTTGGCTGCACTGGTTTTGCTTGTGCAAAAACTTTTTAAATTTAATGTAATCAAAATCATCTCTTTTACATTTCATAATGCTTTCAATATCTCTTGTTTGATCATAAATTTTTCCTTTCTCCATAGATCTGACAGGCAAACTATTCCATGCTCCCCAAATCTGGTTGTGGTATCACCCTTTAAGTCTAAATCATGTACCCATTTTCACCTCCTGTTATATGGTGTAAGGTATTGGTCTATACCTAGTTTCTGCCATACTCTTTTCTAGTTTTCTTAGCAGGTTTTGTCAAACAGTGAATTTTTATCCCAAACCCTTGAGTCTTTGGGTTTAATAAACACTAGATTATTATGTACCTAATTTATTCCACTGATCTATCATTCTATTTCTTAGCCAATACCAGATTAATGATTACTACTTTGTAATACATTTTGAGATGTGGTGCAGCTAGGCCACCTTCCTTCACTTTTTTTTTCATTAATGCCCTTGCTATTTTGTTTTTGTTAGAATTCAGTTATGAATCCATCTGGCCCTGAGGATTTTTTCTTAGGGAGTTCACGGACTGATGGTTTGTTCAATTTCTTTTTCTAAGATGGGGTTATTTAAGTGTTCTATTTTTTCTCTTAATTTGGGCCATTTATATTTTTATAAACTGTCAAATTTATTGGCATATAATTGGGCAGAATAGCTCCTAATAATTACTTTAATTTCTTTTTCGTTGGTGATGAATTCACCCTTTTCATTTTTGATACTAATAATTTGGATTTTCTTCTTCCTTTTTTAAAAATCAAATTAACCAATGGTTAATTGTATTTGCTTTTTTCTCCCCCATAAAATCAGCTCCTAGTTTTATTAGTTCAGTAGTTTTCTTTTGATTTTGTTAATTGCTCCTTTGTTTTTCAGGATTTCCAGTTCAGTGTTTGAGGATTTTTAATTTGTTCTTCTTCTAGTTTTTTAGTTGCATGTCTGATTCATTGATTTGTTCTTTCTCTATTTTACTGATGTAAGCATTTAGAGATAAAAATTTTCCACTAAGTACTGCTTTGGCTGCATCCCATAGAGTACATATAAGTTTTAAGAACCTAGGTTCTGGGGGCAGCTAGATGGCTCAGTGGATAGAGCACCGGCCCTGGATTCAAGAGGACCTGAGTTCAAATCCGGCCTCAGACCAAATACTTGAGACTTAGCTGTATGACCCTGGGCAAGTCACTTAACTCCAATTACCTAACAAAAAACCCCCCAAAACTAGATTCTATCATGAAATGTTTCATTCAGGAAGCATAAAGGGGGAAAAGTAAATACAAATGAAAGGCAGACCCTTTATGCCCTTCATACAGTGTTCACAGGAATCTTTGACATAAATAACCTATAACACATGCCTTGTGTAACTGTGATCCTGGGGTGATGCATCTTGGGACTTCTGTTCCCTCATTGTCAAAAAGAGATCATTAGACTAGATAATTTCTAAGGTCTTTGCAAGCTCTAAAATGTTATGATTGTGTTCTAGAAGCCACTGTTAAGACTAAACAAGAAAAGATTAAATTACTAGGGTAAAAACCACATATGTCTTCACTAGGTAAGAAATAAATCCCTACTCCTGGTCCATTTAGGGCAGTTAGGTGGCACAGTGGATAGCACTCTGGGCTTGGAGTCAGGAAGATGAGTTCCTCAGACAGTTCCTAGCTGTGTGACCCTAGGCAAGCCACTTAACCCTGTGTGCCTCAGTTTCCTCATCTGTCAAATGAGCTGGAGAAGGAAATGGCAAACTACTCTGGTGTCTTTGCCAAGAAATTCCCAAATGGAGTCGCGAATAGTTGGACATGATTGCAAAACTACTGAACAATAACATTAGTACACTGTATCAGCTCTTGCTGGTTTCTTCTCCAGGGTGAGTAGAAACTTGTCTGCTCAAAAGAAGTCAGAACAGCGGCAGAAACATCAGCTCAGAATGAAAGCAGAAAGACATCCTGTTGCGGTGGTCAATGATGAAATGCCTCCCTCCAAGAAAATGAGAGTGTGAGTAGCCAGTTGGTTGGGTTTTTTCCTACTTTAGGTGACATTGCTTATCCCTTAATCTTCTCATACTCAGGTGAGAAGGAACCTTTCCTTTGACTACATTTTTTGGGAGGGCAATTGGAATTTGCTTTTGCATTTAGTAAATATTACTGCCAATGTAAGGTCAGCTTGTCTCAGGTAGACTTTCAGTAGTCACTGAGTGTTCTGGGGACACTAATGAAATGGTAACTAAACTGAAAACATACCTGTTTCCTAAAAAGCAGGAAATTCAAGGCATGCCCGACTATGCATGCACTGTTGACTGCCCTCTTTTCCTGGATCTTCTTTTGTCTCTGGATTTTTGGTCAGACACTGCTATCTCTTGCTTCCCCTCCTACCTGTCTGACTGCTCCTCAGTCTTCTTTGTTGGATCATTCATTATCCATGTCATGCCCACATTAATAGTATGTATACCCCAAGGCTCTGTCCTGGGCCCTCTTCTCTGGTTGTTCTTTATCATCTCACTAGGTGATCTCATCAGGTTTCAGGAGTTCACTTACCAAATCTGTGCATATGACTCCTTGATATGTATATCCAGGACTAGTCTCTCTGCTGAGTTCTGATTTCACATTATCAACTGCCTATTAGGCATTTCCAGCTACTAGGTGGTACCATAAGCATTCCAAATTTGACATGTCCTAAACAGAGTTCATCTTTCTTCCTCACATCTCTCGTGAACCTCTCTTTCTATGGAAAGCACCATCATCCCTCCAGTCTCCCAGATTCACAACTTTGGTGCCATCTTAACTCTTCAGTCTCCTCTACCCAACGCTTGTGCTTGTGCTCTCCCCTGCCTTCCCCCAAGGTTGCCTGCGATCTGCTTTCTGTGTGGCTTATGTAGGTTCTCTTCACCATTAGAATGTAGACTTCTCAAGAGCAGGGACTCTTTCACGTTTGTCTTTGTATCCCCAATACCTAGCACTGTGAATTATGCCAGGAGGTACTTAATAAATGCGTGTTTATTTTGATTATGCTTTGCTTGATTTTATGCATGCCTCTGGGCAGATCAAATACATTGTCTGCTTTTATCCTTTTGTACTCTAGCACTGAGGGCAAAAGTAAGCCCATGGAAGGTAGTGCTTCCAAAAATGGTGCCCAGAAGAGTGAGCCTTCCCTGGGACGACCTGCAGGCAGAATAGCTGTGTCTTGCACGCCACCTATAAGGTGAGGATCTTCCCTTGCTGGTATTTGAACTGTATATCAGGCTCATGGATTCCTTTAGAAGTCTAAGTGGGTGGTGACTTGATGGTTTCCAAATGAGCCTTGACCTGGTTATGATGACCTTAATGAAAATGTATCTGGATTCATGTTTCGGGACTTTGGAAATGACCCTTCAGGATCATTTGAGTGTTAGCATCTTTTGTCCTCTCTCAGTCCCATCTTTATTTCTGACTAGCTTGATTTGCCCTTTAGGAAGAAGGTTCTGAAAAGTACAGAGGAACAAGAGTTGGAGAAGAGACTGAGGATGCAACAAGAGGTGGTAGAGATGCGTAAGAAGAATGAAGAGTCCTTGAAAATAGCTCTAGCAGGTATGGGTTAGCTGCAGCCTCAAGGCCGCAGGTTATGCGCCCCTGAGTCTGTATAAGTAAGATATGATTATTAAAGCACTGAGACTAAATGTGTTGTACTGCTAACTGTAGCACCACAATTTGCCCTCTAAACATTGGTCTTCCTGAGGATTCTTAGGGGCTTTGGTGTAGATGAGAGAAGGAGGAGTAAAACTAGTTCCTGGAACAATTACCAATAATGTTACCTGGTAATGGAAACATGATACCTTTTCAAGAATAAAGCAGGATTGGGAGGACTAAAGCCTGACTTGTTCTGTCCTTTGGCAGTATCCACAAAGACACTGTCCAAAAGGCTGAGTCTAACCCTCAGAGTGCCAGTGTCAGGTTAGGAAGCTGGCAGTATTATATGTCTCTAGGTCAGCAAGTTAAGAGTGTTAGTTGATCAGTATTCTCTGTTTATGGTGATTACATTTCCAAAGTTTTGGGTTTGCTTTTTTTTGTCCACTCCATCCAGGGCAGCCTCTGAAGAAAACAGTGAGCCAGGTAACCAAGTCAGTTGACTTCCACTTCCACACAGATGATAGGATCAAACAGCACCCGAAGAACCAGGAAGAATACAAAGAGGTGAATTTTACAGCTGAACTTCGGAAGCATCCTCCATCGCCGGTAAGGTGATAGGCAAAGTGAGCCTCAGTTACCAATGTATTCAAAGTGACATTGGATTAGTATTCTAGGTAATTATTACTTAAATCTCAGAGGAGATTTCTAGGAGTAAAAGTAGCAATATGTAGGTTAACACCTTGGCCAGCCATTCTGGAAAATAATTTGAAATTGTACCAAGCACTACATACCCTCTGATCAATCAGGATTACTACTGGATGTCTTTTGAGCATCCTCGGTACAAAGCACTGGTCAGATGGTGGGAGAATAGTGATTTCGGTGAGAATGGGGCAAAGACCCACATGAGGCAGGGCTCTGATGACCTATCTTAAGTCACTTTTCTTCTCTAAACCTCGGTTTCCTCATCTATGAAATGGAAGTTATCTTTTTATTACTTCACTTGTGAACAAATTTGCAGTGAGGAAAGTGCTTTATAAACTGTAGATATTAGTAATAATTTGATAATCCAAGAACATATTAAATCCATGTAAACTAACTTAACAAGTCCAGAACAGAATGAAGACCAAGGAGACCTGGAGTCATTGAGCACAACCAGACCAGATATGGTTAATTAGAAATAAATTCCATGGAGTAGATGAATCTTAATCAAGTGTCTTACATAGTAATTTACATCATTTATCTCATTAGATCCTCTACAACAGTCTCATGATGCAAGTAGAACAAATGGACTTTATACTTAATTTACACGTGAGGAAAGTGAGTCCAAAGTCATACATTAGTGAATATCAGAGCTGGAACTTGAGTCCAGTTGGCCTGAGGAGTCCATTCTTTTTTCCCACAAAACAGTCATGGCACAGTGACAGTATTTATGGGAAAGGAAAAGAAAGGGTCATCCAGAGGCTGTAATAAATGTGGTTAGGATTTCTCTTTCTCAGTAGATACTGATAGAGTATGTAAAGTGATTGACCTCATTTGCTTTTCTGTGAATATATCCTACCCAAAGAGCTCCAGTACTGGAGTCAGAACAACGAGGTGTGAGGCCCTAACTTTGACATTAGCCATATTACCTTATGAAAATCACTTAAACTTATTTGGCTTCTTCCTCTGCCATAATAAAATGGAGATAATTTTGTTTGCTCTGGCTACCTCACAGTATTGTTATGAGGATAGGGCTTTAGGATTTGTGCATAGGACTTGTACCACCAGGCCAGGGGTTAAGGCTGCAGCAATCACAGAAACCACTTTAAAAAAAAGTTTTCCAAACACTGAAAGGCTATTGCTGTTTTTTTGCAGAAAAGTTCTCAAAAGAGATTTGTCATTTTGCACACATCTTCTCTGTCTGCAGGCCCGGGTAGGCAAGGGACCTACCATTGCCAAGCCTTTCAATTTGTCCCAAGGAAAGAAAAGACCTTTTGAAGAAACAACCTCTACTTATGTCCCTCTGGCACAGCAAGTTGAAGCTTTCCATAAACGAACACCCACTAGGTACCACCTGAGGAGCAAGAAAGATGATGAGGGTAAGTGTTCCCCTCTAAAATTGGGTGAAAAACTTAGTTGAGAATTTTCCTTTGTTGTTTGTATCTGAAGCATCCATCTGGCTTCATAAGGAACCGTTCATAAGGAGCTAACAATACAGATCTTTTTTTTTTTAAGGCAGTTGGGGTTAAGTGACTTGCCCAGGGTCACACAGCTGGTAAGTGTCAAGTGTTTGGTCTGAGGCTGAATTTGAACTCAGGTCCTCCTGACTTCAGGGCCAGTGCTCTATCCACTGCGCCACCTAGCTGCCCCTAACAATACAGATCTTAAAAAAAAAAAAGCACATCACTTTGTGTAAGTAGCAGACATATGACATGATGTCTCTTTGACTTCTTGAGTCTGTGACACGTCTATAAACTTGTGGTTTGTGGAGGGGTGGTGGTGGAGAATGGTTTTATTCCCTGACAAGTTCATCCATTTGTTCATAATACTAAGTCAGATTTCTCTAATGCTTTAAGGCTGAAAGGTCATGTTTATCACAGTCATCCTATGAGCAGATGGCACAAGTTTTATCCCCATTTGACAGATGAAGTGGAATGTGTTTGATTCATATAAGTTCAGTTACAGGTCTTGTGACTTCAAAACCAGCTCTCACTCATGTACCTAGCCTCTGTATGTCTTTACCATTCTCACTTGCTCTTTTCCCCTTGGTCATTCCCCCATCTCCACCTCTTTGTAGCATTGACCAAGCAGAATAAAGAAACCCAGGCAGAAATCAATTCCGTTTCTTAATATGTGACTTGGAAGGCTAACATTTTGGCCAAATAAGTCAACACAGGATCTTATGTCCTAGAATCTCATTGTACTTCTGTATCGATCGCATATAGACTTTATAACACTGTTGTGTAACATAGACAAGGAGGAACACATACTGTTTTATTGTAAACTTCAGTGCATCTCTGACTTCAGCAATGTGGGTATTCCTTGGAAAGGGATACTTTGCAGCCTGCCTGCACTTTGTTGGCCTGTGAGCGCCTTGTTGGGTCCTCCCATATCTCCCAGAGGATCATCTAGCACAGGTGTCAGAGATCTTCAACTCCATGAGTGCCATTGTAGCCCTTAGACTGTTACCTTTCTGTCATTATTTTAAAAGTTTACCTCCTTTTCTAGTCACATATTTAATAAAAATAACTGACATTCATGTAGTGCTTTAAAGTTCACAGACATTTTACACATAACTCATTGGAGCCTCACAACAGCCCCATGAGATAGGTACTACAGGTAGTAGTATGTCCATCTTATGGAAACTCAGGTTTAGTGAGTTTAGTTAGGCTGCCTGTGGTTACACTGCTACAAGTATCAGAGATGAGATTTTAAGTCCAGCACATCTGGAGTGTAAGAATAATATTATTAATCCACTCAAACATATTGGCTCTCCATTTCCTATACCATCTCTTTTATGCTACTTCTTACATATAAACCATCATTGCTAACAACCTTGCCGTTGTTCTCTGAATCACTCTTAATTTTAATTCTTTTTTTTCCTTCGTAATTTATTTTTAGTTTTCAACATTCACTTCCACAGGCTTTTGAGTTTTAAATTTTTCTCCCCCTCCCTCCCCATCTCGGCGTACAGTCTGATACAGGCTCTACATATACATGCCTATTAAACATGTTTTCAAATTAGTCATGTTGTAAAGAAGAATTAGAACCAGTAGGAGGAATCATAAGAAGAAACAAAACAAAACAGAAGGGGAAAAAAAAGAACAAATAGTATGCTTTGATCTGCATTCAAACTCCATAGTTCTTTCTCTGGATGTGGATAGCATTTTCCATCTTGAGACTTTTGGAGTTGTCTTAGATCCTTGCATTGCTGAGAAGGGCTAAGTCTATTAAAGTTAGTCATGGTACAACATGGCTATTACAGTGTACAACGTTCTCCTGGTTCTGCTCACTTCACTCAGCATCAGTCCATACAAGTCTTTCCATGTTTTTCTGCAGTCTGCTCATCATTTCTTATAGCACAGTAGGATTCCTCTTAATTTTAATTCTTCAAAGAATAATGTTCCATGGTTTGCAGCTACAGACAGTTCTCACTTTATGTAAATTCACATTATACAAATTCCGCTTTACATAAAGAATTCTGAAAGAAATCCATATTCCAAAAAAACCCAAACAAACCTGTGATAACTTTACTATGCTCTCTTGCTGTTTCTGCCCCTTGACTTAGTACTCCACTGAATTCCTCCTGCCCCCAAGTGGAAGTAAAAGAATGGGCTTGTGGAGAGACCGCCTGCTGGTGCTGGCTAGTGGTGGGGAAGGTTGGCTTGAGACCTCTGCACTTTGCCCACCATGTATGTTTACCCCAATCTGTCTGCTATCCAAACTGTTTGTATACGACATTGCTAGAAGAGAAATCAGTGTTAAAAAAATGTGGTTTTGTGTCAGGGACCAACTAGAGATTGTTGAAAGTGCAGTGTAAATTTCCAAGTATAGTTCAGCTGACCCTCTTCCTACTCATCTCTGGGCCTAGCTCATCATTCATCTACAGTGCCTGTCCAAGACTCATGTTCAGAGGGACTGATTCAGTGGGCTCTGTCCATCTTCATATCCTAGTCTAGACAATAGGGACTTCTTCATCCATTTGAATTTTCCTGTGTAGATTCTTAGACTTCACACTTGAGTGGTTTGGGATCAAACTGACAACTTTGTGTGATGTCCTGGGCCTGTCTACAAACAGGTGTGTGCAGCACCATGTCGTGCTAGTCAGTAAACATTTCTTATGCATCTAGTCTATGCCAGACACTGTACTAAGGGTTGAGGATACAAAGAAAGACAAAACCCAGTCCCTTTTCTCAAGGAGCTCACAGTTTAGTGAAGGAGAAAACATGCAAACAGTTATGTAAAATCAAGATATATACAGGCTAAACTGGAAATAATCACAGAGAGAATGCACTAGAATTATGGGGCTTTGGGAAGAGCTTCCCTCAAAAGGTGGGGTTTTATCCAGAACTTGAAGAAGCCAGAAAAGTTGGGAGGAGGAGATGAAGAAGAAGGGCATCCCTGGCATGGACGACAGTCAGTGAAAATGGCTGGGAGTTAGGAACAGCAGTGAGGCCAGGCCATTGTTACAGGATCACAGAGTATGTGCAGGGTTGTAAGGGATTAGAAGACTGGAAGACTAGGACTCAGATGTGAACACCAGAAGATTTTCTATTTGATCCTAGAGGTGATAGGGAGTAACTGGAGTTTATTGAGAGAGAGAGAGAGAGAGAGAGAAGAGAGAGAGAGAGAGAGAGTGTGTGTGTGTGTGTGTGTGTGTGTGTGTGTGTGTGTGTCTGTCTCTCAATCAGACCTACACTTTAGGAAAATTACTTTGGCAGTTGAATGAAAGATGGATTGGAGTGAGGAGAGAGTTGAGGCAGGCAGACCCAACAGCAGGCTGCTGTGGTAGTCCAGGTGTGAGGTGATGAGGGCTTGTACCAGACTGGTGGCAGTGTCAGGAGAGGAGGGGACGTATTTGAAAGATGTTATGAAGGTGAAATTGAGGGGTCTTGGCAACAGATTGGATCTGAAGAATGAGAGATAGCGAGGAGTCAAGGATGATACCTACTTGTTACCTAGGTGACCCCAGGTGACTGGAAGGACAGTAGTACCCTCAGCAGGAAGAGGGGAATGTTTTTTGGCAAAAGATGAGTTCAGTTTTGGACACATGTTTAAACTGCTCTTTGATTTTTATTCTGTGCTGGAGATCTAACATAAAAAGGGTAAACACCTTTGTTGAGAATATTTCTTTTTTTTTCTACATCTTTGACATTGATAATAGAAGATAATTGTTACATATTAACATATAAAAGTGGCTTATGCATTGGAGGAGACTCTTTAATGCTGCATTTTTCTCTGTAGAGTCAAGTCCTCTTAGTGAAACAGAATGGATCTTATGTTCTATCTATACCTTTCAGTCATTTGTGTGACTGGAGCTGTATACTCTGCCATAGAAAATCACTCATCAGTGCCTTATTGTTCCCTTCTGATATTTTCTTTAAAATACCCTCAATACATGTATTGACTATTCTCATAAAGATTTTATAGAGATTAGAAAATAGGCCTGTGGCTCACTACTTATTGATTAGTTGGCCTTTTTTGGGTAAATCAAATTGTCCATTATTTCCCTCATTTATTCAGGATCTTCTAGGTATCTTGGAAAATCAGTCCCTCAAAACTGTTTACCTTTCAGCATGGATTTTTTTTTCTGTGTATACTTGATCTGATTTAGCTATTCTTCCTGTGTTTATCATCTTCCATTTTCACTTTCTCATATAGTCTAATTAGGATTGAATTGTTGGAGTCCATGTGGTAGTTCTACTGTCAACAGTGATGAGCATAATTTGTTATAGAATAGATGACAATTGGTTTCATTTTTATTTCTGTGGTTTTTTTCCTCCCTGGTTTCATTTATATATGATCCTGGGATCACAGCTTTAGGACAAGAAGGGACCTTAAAGGTCATCTTGTCCAACCCATTCATGTTATTGCTGAAGAAACTGAGAAGCAGAGGAGCTAGTAACCTGCTCAAGGTTATGCAACTAATAAGTTCAGAATGGCTTAGAGTCTCACTTCAAGGAGATGGTTTTTCTTTTCACTATTCTTCACTGTTAAAATAGGTAATAACAACAGTCCAGCGTTTATATAGCACTTTAAGGTTTGCAGAGTGCTTTGTAAATATTCCCTCCTTTTATCGTCAAGACAACCCAGAGTGGTAGGTGCTATTATCATCCCCATTTATTCAGTTTTAAGGAGTTGTGTTAGTTTGTTTATTGATTTGCACAGGGCTGCAGGTTGGAAATTAACGATCTGTAATGTGCCCCATTGTCGGTCAGTCATAAGGTATTTTGTTTGGAAAATGGAAGAGACTCATTTGAAAATCAGTGGAATTTTTCACAAGAAAAATGAACTTAAAAAAAAATTTTAATGAATGAATTGGTCTTTCTTTTCCAATCTTGTCCTTTCTCTTTGAATAAAAAGAAAGAAAAGCAAAACTTTTGTAACAAGTATGCATAGTTGAGCAAAAACAAATTCCCTCATTGGCCATATCCAAGAACTTTATGTCACATAATGCACTCTGAGTCCACCCTCTCTATGTCAGGATGTAGTTGTTATCACTGGTCGTCAGGAATCACGGATGATAGTTGTATTTATTTGTCGGAATTCTTAAATCTTTCAAAGTTGTTTCTCTTTTACAATGTTGTTATTGTATAAATTGATCTTTTGGTTCTGGTCACTTTGTCTCTGCATCAGTTCATAGAAGTCTTCTCAGGTTTCTCAGAAGCTGTACCTTTCCTCCTTCCTTTTACAGTACACTGTACCATAATTTGTTTAACTCTTCTCTAGTTGCTGGGTAAAATTTCCCCCTTTCTCCCCTTAGTTTCTAGGTTTTTTTGCTACCACAAAATGATCTCTGAAAATAAAAGAAAGTTCTCTTAATAAAGCTAGGATTGATAGCTATTCCTTTCCCCCCATATATTATTTTGTTCATGGGTTTGGCAGGTTAGTTCAGCTTGGAAATTTGAATGGCATTTAGTTTTGATTTCTAAAATAAATTATGAATAATGCTGTCTGTTGCTAAATATGTAGAGACCTTCATAAAAGAGACAAATGTGGTATAGTTGAAAGATCATTGTACTTACAGGACTGGGATTCAAATCCTGCCAGGTAGTTTGTGACCTTGGACAAACTGATTCATCTCTCTAATTCTCAGTTTCCTAAGGAGGTTGAACTAGATGATGTGGAAGATTCCTTCCAGCCCTGCATAATCATGTGATACCTGAAGATCCTTGGGGCTACTGATTTTAAAAGCACTTATCTTCTTTGAGTTGTTTATCAGTATATATGTTAATTTGTTTCATTCCTATTATCCCACCCAATTACAAAAAAGTCCTGTATTTGACTTTGGAAAGTTAATTTTTTTTCTTTGATACAAATATCTATTTCCTGGGAATTCATAGTACTGGGAATAGTCACTGGGCATTGAAAGACCTTTTCTTGAATCTGAATGAATAAAGATATTATTTGTGGTGATCATAAGCAGAGTAGTAGAAAGTGATGATAAATATGGAAGCCTGCATTAGCCACTGGGGGGGGGGAAATAGTCTCCATACAAGTGACTCTTGTTTGTTTTATAGTAAAAAGAACATTAATGTTTTATATAAATCAGAAGCTTTTCCTCCTGAGTGGAGTGATAGATTGGATGCTAGTGAAGACTGCTAAAATATGCCAAGGCACCATCTGCTCCTGACAGTTATCCATAGAAAAATGTCTACATTGTGACCTGGATATAACCTAGCTGGAGGCCCAGCTGATGTCAGGGAATCCAGTGACACTTTTATGGTTTCGCTTTGTAGGTCTGTTACCCTCCAAACCGTCAGTGCTCAAGATAACAAACCCACAGACTCCTGTATTTAAAACTAAGCAGCGCACAAGGCCTGTCACGTGCAAGAGCACAGCTGAGTTGGAAGCAGAGGAACTTGAGAAAATCCAACAGTAAGTCTCCACAGAACCATGGAAAATCTAGCTCTAGCAGTTGATGCACTTCCTTACCTGGTGATCTGTGGGAGTCACACTACATGTGTCCTTTTCTCACCCAGCCTCGAGGTGAGGAGCCCAATGACTGAGGCAACAGCTAGGGAGTCAGGTTTGAGTTGGGAGAGGTGAGGGAAAAGAAGCCAGCTATTACTTAAGAAAACCATTTGGTATTCTTCCAGATTAATTTGTGCAAATTTTACTCTTAAGCTGCTATATTAATAGCTTATTTTTGTGTAGTGCTTGGCAGCTACAAAGTGCTTTGTAGAGACCTTATTTGATTCTCACAACTCTGTGAAGCAGATAGGACAAATATTGTTTTACAGATGAGAAAATTGAGGCTTAGTGAGGTTAAATGCCTTTTCCATAGCTGTTCAGTTACCAGGAGGCAGAACAGGTCGTCTGACTCTTAAGTCCAGTGTTCTTCCCATTAACTGTGTTTCTAACACCCAGGGTCTTGTTATGCTAATGCCACTCAGTCATCTAAGGTTAAATGTTGTTGAGATGGGATATAGAAAGTGTTCTCCTCCTAATGGTACTATTTATTTTAGTGCTTGTGGAGAAGAGAAGCATGTATTTACTATGAGTAAAGAAGAGTCACATTCTGTGGAGTAATTAAGTGTTAGGTCATTATATAATAATTTCTCCTTTCTAGCAATATTGGAGGATGATATTACTCTATGATTATTGATACTTTAATAAAGTTTAAAATATGCTATTTATGAAGAGAAATCTCCATGATGATTGTTTCTGTCTTTGACACCATCTTTTTTGTTTGTTTGTTTTACTTTCTTGAAATCCCATTAATCATTCCACAGATACAAATTCAAAGCACGGGAACTTGACTCTAGAATCCTTGAAGGTGGGCCTATCATACCAAAGAAACCTCCTGTAAAGCCACCCACTCAGGCTATTGGATTTGACTTGGAAATTGAGAAAAGGATACAGGAACGAGAGGCAAAGAAGAAGTCAGAAGAAGAGCACTTTGAGTTTCATTCTAGGCCTTGTCCTACCAGGATCTTGGAAGATGTTGTGGTAAGAATTTTTTTTACTTCCTCAAATGCAAGTAAAAGTGTCTGAGAACCAGAAATTGAATAAGATGGGTGGGTACCAACTTGGTGGGATTTGTATTTATGTTTTAGTTTTTAACAAAGTAAGAAAAGGTTGGGGTATGGAATTAATTGGGTCAGGTTAATTGCAATTTCTGGTAGTTTTTTTTTTAAGTATAATAAAGGCCATTCATTCTTCCCCATTCTGGCATGGAGGTGAGTGACCCTATGTTCTCAGCGACTATGTCAGCAGTTTGTTAGTAATAATGATGATGATGATGATGATGATGAAAGCAATGATTATGTAACAAATAATGAATAATAGAATACCTAATGATAATATATTAATATAATGTAGTTATCATGTTATATAATGTGTTATATCTATAATTATGTTATAAATAACCACATTAGTATATTATAATAATCTTAAATCATAATTATTATAGCCAGCATTTATACTTCTCTTAAAGGTCCCAAAAAATATTTTACATGTATTACCTCATTTGACCATTACAACAAACATGTGAAATAGTTGCTATTTTTAGCTCCATTCTGTAGATGGGGAAACTGAGGCTGAATGAGGTTAAATGACTCTCTGTGGTCTCAATAATTTGTGTGTATTGGAGCTGAGATTCACGCTCAGATTTTACTGACTCCCAAGTTCTAGGGTCTATCCAAGGTGCTGCCTTCTTTCCTCAAGTCCTAACTGTTCTTGTGGAACTAGAAAAACAAACACTTTCTAATGGATTCATAGTTTTGTTGATTGTACTGGCTTTTAAGGCATTTGTATCTCAGACTGTTTTTTTTTCCTTTTTTGGTAAATTTATTGTTTATTTTTTAACATTCTTTTAAAAATTTGGATTCCAAATTCTCTCCCACCATACTACCCCTCCCCCACCCACTGAGAAGGCAAGTACTATTATGTCCATAATACATGTGAAATCATGCAAAACATTTCCACATTAGCCATATTTTTACAAAAAAGCAAGAAAAATGTAGAAAGTGAGGAAATTACATTTTAATTTGCATTCAGAGTTCATCACTTTTCTGTCTGGAGATGGGTAGCATTTTTCATCATTTGGAATTGTCCTAGATCATTGTATGGATCAGAGTAGTCAGGTCTTTCATAGTTGATCATCATTATGACATTGCTGTTACTGTGCACAATGGTATCCTAGTTCTTCTCACTTCACTTTGCACCAGTACATGTAGGTCTTGCCGTGTTTTGCTGAAACTACCCCTCCCTTTGTCATTTCTTAGGGCACAATAGCATTCTGTCGTAATCATTTGCCATAACTTGTTCAGCCATCATTCAATTGATGGGTGTCCCCTCGATTTCTAATTCTGTCACCACAAAAAGAGCTACTATAAATATTTTTGTACGTCTAGGTCCTTTTCCTTTTTCTTTGAGATACAGACCAAGTAGTGATACTGCGGAGTCAAAGGGTATGCACAGTTTTATAGGTCTTGGAGCATAGTTCCAAATTGTTTTCCAGAATGGTTGAACCAGTTTGCTACCCTACCAGCAATTCATTAGTGTATGTCAGGCCTGCATAACCAAAGGATTTCTTGTGGCCCGTGGGAACATAGAGGAAAACATCCTTTGCATATAGTAGAGATCCTTTGGCGTGCTGCAGTCTGCCCTTGGACTGCAGGTTGTGCAGGCCTGGTGTACATATTTTCCCCTCATCTACTCCAGCATTTGTCATTTCAGATTGGTTGAGGTAGTACCTCAGAGTTGTTTTCATTTGAATTTCTCTAATCGGTAATTATTTATAGCATTTTTTCATATGACTATAGATGGCTTTGATTTCTTCTGAAAACTGCCTGTTTATATCCTTTGGCCATTTATCAAGTGGAGAATGGCTCCTGTTTTTATAAATTTTGACCTCAGTTCTATATTCTCTATATATTTGAGAAATGAGGTCTTTGTCAGAGAAACTTGCTGTAAAATTTTTGATATTACTTCATTGTTAGTGATACCTTTTAGCAAAATGTAGTTTCCCTGATTATCTCTTTTAATTAGGTCTGGTTTTGCTTTTGCCTTGTCAGACCTCTTTCAAGCACGTGCACATGTGGCTGTGCAGTGATCTTACTTTGATTCTCTGTACTTATCCGAGTTTCTGTCTATAATCTGCAGTGTATGTATTCTAGTCTTGATGAATGCAGGTAGACTGGGAATCAGAAGGCTTGGGCTTTAGTTCTGTCTGCATGACCTTCATTTCTCCTTTTGTGGTCTCTTGCCTCCTCAGTAAAATGAGATTGCATAAGGCCTCGACAGCTCTGGTATCCTTTTGTTTCCCCTACCAAATCTCTTAGCTTTTTAGCAGCTGCCGTCTTTTGTTGTTAAGGGGTTCCCTGAACTTGTCCTTTTGAATTGTCCTATTTTCCAGAAACACTGAACCCAGTAAACTGACCTTTTCTAATCCAACAACCACATATTCATAAAGGATATTCTTTAGGCCAGACCTACACAGTCTGATGGTTTTCATTACTTTTTCCAATTTAAGTCTAAATTTTGCAATAAGCTTTTAATTTGAACATTTTATACCATGTACCAAAATAAGCAAGCACCAAATGGATAAGCAATCTAAATATAAAATAAAATACTAACAAACTAAAGGAAAATGGAAAGAGATGCCTTTCAGATTTATGGTTTTCAGGAAAATGTATGTGCAATAGAGGATATGTTTTATTTATATCTTTACATACCTTTCCAACTAGATTATAAGCTTCATAATGGTAGGAAACCTCTTCTTAATACTTCTTTGTGTTTCTTATAGCCAATTAGTCTAACAAATGTGTTCACAGAGGGCCTCTGTGTAAGATTTTGAGCTTGTACCTTAGGCTAATATAACAATAATAATAATATAACCGGGTACATTCTGTGGTTGAGAGCAAGGGGGTACAAATGGATAGATAACTAAGATGGAGTGTTCTCACTAACGTGATCCTGGATAGCTTTGTATTAAGCTAAAAAATGAGCCATGGACTTTAAAAAAATTAACTACTTTAAAAAGGGGTGGAGGGAGACGTGAAGCAAATGTTACCTCAGGAAAGTATGCAAGAATGTGCCTGCTAGCCCTGGTCTTCCTGCATCTGACTCCTCAATTCAGTTTCAAAATACCTCTGCTAAAATTATCCCCTCCATTCACTGATACTACATGTCTGCCCATGTAGTGCCCCCAGATTCCCATTAGATTTCAGAATCAAGTTCAGATTTCATTTTCTTACCTTCAAGGCTTTTCAGCATTTCTTGCTCTCACATTCCTTCTTTACAACTTTTTACCTCTAGCTCATTCCCCAAGCCCAGAGGAAATGAAATTTTAAGTAGAGAGGAATAGCACTTTAAGGTCACAAAAAAAATAAACAAACTTAGACTCGTAGTTGAAAACACAGGTTAAGTTGAAAGAGTTGGGGCCCCAGGATGATGGAGTGGAAAATGCCTTCAATTCATGATATCTGATCCTAGTTTTGCTTACACAAGACATTCCATTTCCTTGCTGCTGTCTATTCCCTGTGCCTGGAATGCACTCCCTCCTCTCTTCTGTCTGTCCGAATCCCTACTTTCCTTCAAGGCTCTGCTCAAGCTTCATCTCCTGTGTGGAGTCTTCCAATCCCTCTAGCTGCTAGTGCCTTCTCCCACTCCTCGTTATCTTTTACCTAGTTTTATATACTCATGTATACATGTTGTGTCCCTTGGGTAAATTGTAAGGTTCCAGAAATTGTTTTTCTTTTGTCCCTGTGTCTCCTTTGCCTAGCACATAACAGTGTTTGTTGGGTGATTGGTAGTCTTTTTAAGCAGTACCAAATAACTTATTTCACAGGCTGTTTATTTTTTCTCCCTCTCTCACCCAGAAAGCCAATCTTTTATAACTAAGAATAAAAAAAGAGATTTTTTTTCTTCTGTTTTGTTTTGTTTCTTCTTTCTTGTGGTTCCTCCTGTTGGTTCTAATTCTTCTTTATAATATGATTAATGTGAAAATATATTTAATAGGAAGGTATATGTAGAGCCTATATCAGATTGCACGCCGTCTTGGGGAGGGAGGGGGAGAAAATTTAAAACTCAAAAGCTTATGGAAATGATTGTTGAAAACTAAAACTAAATTAATTAAAATTTTAAAAAAGGTACCATAGACCAAAAAAAAAAAGAGAGAGAGAAAGAGAAAAGAAAAAAAGCAGCCCAGCAAAACTGAGTCCAACAATATATTTAGTGTTCCACACTAATAGTCCCTCACCACTGAAAGAAAGGCATGGTGCTTTCTCATAACCCTTCTTTGGACTCAAACTTAGTCATTATAATCACTCAGCATTCAGATTTTTTGGTTCTTTGCATTTGTTTTTTTTTTTGTAGTTATTATGCATATTTTCTTGGTTCTCTTTACTTCAGTGTGCATGAGTTCATATAGTACCAAGTAGTTTTGATTACTCCTTTTTGAAATTGGTTTGAGATCTAATAATACTACCTTCCACCTTCCTTACTACTTTTTTTCATTATTTCTCTTGACCATTATCATCATCATTATTATTACTGACATTTTGTTCTAAATAGGGTTCTTGTGGTCCATGAACTTAAAAAAAAAGTATTACTAGCACACATTAAATTAATAATTAAATAATATTCCATAAATTAATTTAGTAAAAACTGTTTCAGTACGATCGATTTCTTTTGAAATTTTACGTATTTTGTTTTATGCTTTTAAAGACATTCTAAGAAGGGGTCCCTAGGCTTTACCAGACTGCCAGAGGGGGAAGTCTACAACACAAAAAAGGTTAAGAACCTCTGCTCTAAATAAAAGATTTTACAATTTTTGTCTAATTCCATACACTAGCTCCTTGTTAGCCCCCCTTATTTTCAATATGGTCTATCTAATATTTGTAGGCTTTCTCTAGGAAGAGTAATGATACTTTTCCAGAAGTCTCCCTCAAAGTTATTTTATATGCTTTGTATTAGTCTTGATGACAGACTCTGCTATTTAGGAGGGAAGGAATGGTATCTTTTTTTTTTTTTTGAGGCAGTCGGGGATAAGTGACTTGCCCAGGGCCACACATCTAGTAAGTATCATGTGTCTGAGGCTGGATTTGAACTCAGGTCCTCCTAACTTCAAGGCTGGTACTCTGTCTACTTTGCCACTTAGCTACCCGGAGGGAATGGTATCAAGAAATACATCAGGACCTTTTAAGTGTAAAAAATGTTCTGCCATTCAGTCATTATCTTGAATGCCTACACTTTTTGGCACTTTCCCCCCATACTCCCCTTAAGGTGGAATTCGACCCTCAGTTTCCCATTGTGGCAAGCTTCTAAGTACAGCCTTCTGTGTCGTGTACCTTTTATTCCATCAATGTCGCTTTTGCTCATAATTGTTTTAGGAACCGCTCTTGGAATTGTCTTCAGGCCCAGTGATACTTTTTATAAAAAAAACTTTTTAAAGTTTTGTTGGTGCCTTTTGTTTTTAGATTAGTTCTCCTTACCTCCCAAGAACCTTCCCTTGAAACAAAGAGTAAAGTCTGACTTTTTTTTTTTGAAATTCTAAATGGTGACATTGATTTTTTTTTTCTCCTGACTGTGGTTACAAAGTACTTATGAGCCATGGCTGGTGAATACAATGAATGAATGAACTAAGTGTGTCAATAAAATAATGAGACTGATTATCTTGTGTGTGTTAAATGTTGAAGGTGTCATTTAACTCTGTAGAAGCTGAATGTCAACGAAGGTCCTCTGAGTAGGTACTTAGGAAGGTGACTGGCTGGTGTGTAAGCTTCAGGGCACAGTCTTTGTTCTCCTGGGAGACCTTGGGGTAGACTCGGGCTTCTTAGCTAATGCACCCTTTTTTCCCTCCTCCCAGGGTATTCCAGAGAAGAAAAAGCTCCCTACCACAATCCCCAGATCTCCTGCCTTTGCCCTGAAGAACAGAGTCCGTGTGTTCACCAGAGAAGATGAGGTGATTTGGGGAGGGGTGGGCAGGGATTCAAATCACTGACTTTTTCTCTTCAAACATGTACCCTTTCTACAGTTGTTTGAGTTCAGTATTTACCTTTGTCTGGAATTGACTTTTCAGAAGTGGGTTGAGAGATTCTAGCCCCTGGTTTGCTGTGCAGAGGAGTGTTGTTGTGAGTATAGGTATGTGCTCAGCTCTTTATATACATAGCCTCAACAGTTCTTGACAGTAGAGTTGAGGGGGCTGTACACAATGGATCAATTTACAACTCAGGCCCTTATAGAGAGATGTGGCAGTAGAGATTAGCCCCTGAAATTGGCCATTATGCTGCCTTTGGTACATGGTGTTCTAGGTTTCTAACCCCTGTCTTGGAGTATACACAGACTGTTACCAAGCTACAGGTCACATAAAGGGGTGTCATCTGTCTGATCTCTTTTTGCCCCAAGGGTCCTAGTTCCAACAGATGCACTGTGTGGCAAAGTTTCATGAAGTTAGTATGCGTAAACTGTCATTGATCAGGCTAGTTTCTTATTTCCTCTCCTAAATTGTCTATAAATATCTCTATGGATAGGGTAATTTTATAGCAGGTATCAGACATAAGGTTTTTTTTAGGCACATTTGTAACTAAAATACTTGTTAACTCTGAACCAAAGCCATTTATATGTTCTCAGTCTTGTTTTGGAAGAGACGTGAAGTCAGGAAGCCCAGGATTCAAGTCTCGCCTCAGACATTTATTAGCAGAGTGATCTAGGGCAAGTCACTGAACCTCTCTGGGCCTCACTGTCCTCATTGGTAAAATGAGGGAGTCGGATTGAATAGTCTCCAAGACTCCTTCCAGCTCTAAATGTATGCTCCTGTGTACCCCAAAGATCCATTCTTGTAAGGTTTGACAGTGAAACGAAGGTACGCTTGTTATCACAGTGAGCTGAACTAGAAGATAGCAGGCAGTAGAATCCAAAATAAGATTGTGATGTTTCCTGTCTGTGTTCAGATGTAAATAACTTTAGTGCTCCTTTAATGGAATGCTTTTATTTCACTCACAAACTATGTAGTCTGGGAGTTTTTATAGCTCTCTGAGCCTTTCAAAGTTCTTTTATATGAATTCTCTCTTAGTAGGATAGGTGTTGTTCCCATTTTCTGCATGAGAGAACAGGCCAGGAGAGGGTGATTATATTATGTAGCTAGTTAGTGGTAGGGCCAGTATCCTTAGGCCTAACCCCCAATCTGTAGCATTCACAGTTCCTGATGTGGAGGAGCTCTGTTTGTGACTGGACTTTTCCCTCTTAGGAAGAAGAAGAACCAACAGTGATCAAATCTCACCCCATGCCACACTACGGGGTGCCCTTTAAGCCTCGAATCCCAGAGCAGAGAACCGTGGAGGTTTGCCCCTTCTCCTTTGATTCCCGGGACAAAGAGCGGCAATTACAAAAGGAGAAGAAAGTAAAAGAGCTACAAAAAGGAGAGGTAGCTGTTTGCATTTTTGCACTGAGACTGAATGATGAATACAGTGAGCCTGTTAAAGATGGGGGTGTTAGCTTTCAATTGTTACAGCCTAAGTATTTTCCTTTTTCTGATTGCATTCAGTCCTTGAACCATGTGGGCCAATGGTGTGATGCAACTACCGAGAAAAGCCAATGAGATCTTACGCTCAATATGTGGTATCCAGAATGAGTTCTACTGTATTTTGTGCTGGTTAGATGAGATTTGGAATATTGTGTGCTCTTTTGGGCACCACATTTTAGGAGGGGTGGTTACAAATTAGTGCCACTAAGATGGTGATATGTCAGGGGATGTGTCCTAAGTATTGCTTTAGGTAACTAGGGAAGTGTAGAGAAGAGATGGCTTGAGAGCAAGGGGAGACAATCACATCTTTGAAATATATGAAATGTTATTGTTTGGAAGAAAGTATTTTGGGGGAACTGGGACCGATGGGTAAAAGTTATACCAAGCAGATTCACTCAGTGTAAGTAAGAATTTCTTCACAATTAGAGCTTCTAGCAATGGAATGGGCTGCTGAAACAGCTGGCGAATTCTATGTCAACCTGGGCAGGAAGACTCAATGAAGACCTGATGAGATGTAGAGATGGTTCCTATAGGGAGTAAAGGACTGGACTGTTTTACTTCTGAGCCACAGAATCCCAAAATTAGAAGGGATTTGATAGGTTGGTTATCTGGTCCAGCTGGTACGTGAACAGATGTCTAATAAACTCTACAATATTTCTAACCAAAACTCATTTAACTCCCCCCTTGAACGTCGTCAGTGACAGGGATGGGGAAAGGAGGAGGAGGAATATGTCACTGTTTATCAAGGCAGCCAATTCTCCTTTTGGACAGCTTGGATTGTTAGGAAGCTTTTCTTTTATATCACAAGCTGAAGACAGCATGCTACAGTTTCCAAGCATTTTTCTTTTGTCAATACCTTAGAACTTCTGCATTAGAGAAGAGCCATTTGACCTCATTCACAATGAGAACTTCTCATTTTACAGGCAGGTGCCCAGAGACATAAAGTGGGTTGCTGTGACTTCCAAAGGCCTCCTTAAAGCCTGGTCCCCTTATTGTGTCATGAAGGTGGCTCTCAGCTGGATGAACTTTGTTGATTATCCTTGCTGTGGTGATCATTCTTGAGTTCGGGGGGGGGGGGGGGGGGAGAAATGCCACTGGTAACTAACCAAAGCTTAACTGCAGGTGTGGAAGGAAGAGATCATCCTAAGTCCTAAAAACCCACAGAATCTGTGAATTACTAAGAATATACATTCCTTGAGGGAAGGGACTGTTTTTATTTTTTGTAGTCTGTTGGCCTCACATGGTACTTGAAATATATTAGACACTTAATTAGTGCTTGTTGAATTAAAACATGGACTTTGTACTCCTGTTTATTTATTAATTTAAAAACATTCTGAGAGTGGGTCCGCAGGCTTTAGCAGACTGACCAGTCCACAGCACAGAAAAGGTTAGGAATCCACGTACTGGACCTTGTTGCTGTTAACATCTTGATGTGCTTCCCTTCTCTGGGCTGTTTGAAATTTAGACAGTTCTCCTACTATACAAATTTGACTTCCCTGTGGGTGATTGCAGGATCCTGCGTCTGCACAGTCTCTGGCTCCTGACAGGCTGCTGCACCTCACTGAAGGGTTCCAAGACTGGGCAGCCCCATGCTGAGGGGGCTCAGCCGCACAGAGCCCGTGAGGGAACAGGTGGGGAGGTCTGTGGAATGGTGCACTTACATTAAGCGAGAACTGTCTGTTCCCTTAGATTCTCTTGGTCACTGGGGTTGTTAAGTAGCGGGAGAAGCTTAGGAATCAGAGGTATAGATGTGGCGTGTTGTAAATAACTGCCTTTGGACCCATCTATGTTCTCATTTAGAAACTAGTATTCAGTACTCAGTGGCAGAGATTTCTGCCGCTGATCTGACCATGTGCTTCCCACCTTGGCTGAGGAATTAATGTAGGGTGAGGACTGTGTATATATACAGGGTTAGATCATAGAGAGAAGATTTGGTACCTCTAGAAAGTCTGCCCCTCCTCTAGTGTTCAGCCTGGATGTGGCCTTGTTTGGAAGTTTGTGTTCTTGCTTCTGGGTCAGAGCCTTGGCCTATGGGAGAAGAATCTGCTCTGATGTCTTGGGGCAACACATGAATCCCCGAGAAGGCCCCACTGGTCTGTCTGTGTGTGTGTTAAGAAGAAATTGGGTATTATAGTTTGAGCTGGTCATATTACTGTCAGTAGCAATCACGGATGACAACCAATTCTTGATCAATTTGACTAGGCATATCTGAGATTGTAGCTCTGAGGCTCTGTCTATATCATGCAGTAAATTATGTCTCATACTCATTTTTGTCTTTTTTTTTTTTGATCAGGTTCCTAAATTCAAGGCACAGCCCCTGCCTCAGTTTGACACTGTTAGCCTGCCAGAGAAGAAAGTGAAGACTCTAACCCAGCTTGAACCTTTCCACCTACAGACAGATGAGAGAGGAGCTCTTAAGGCTCAGACTTGGAAGCACCAGGTGGGGACAGAGGGAGAGCAGTGGGGAAGTTACTAAGAACAGACGGAGCCATTGCACTGAGAGTCTGTCTGTCTGTCTGTCTGACATAAGGATTATATTTCAGAGAGTAGCTCTCTCAGCAATTACCTAGGACATGTCACCATTTACTAAAGTTCCTTAAAGGGGGAATATCTTTAAAACTTAATCAATTTGTTAGACTGATTTATTTCACATTCTGGAACTCTATAAACCTGCTTGTTGTATTGTATTATATTGGTGTGTTGACGAGCAGAATATGAATGGTAAGAATGCTTTCTCAGGAGAATGTGTTGTAAGTAAGTTTGTTAGACAGTAGATAAACATGAACATGGTGAATCAGTTGTCAACTAAATGTTGCCTTATTTGAGAGCTGAGTCTTTAGCTTATCTGGGGGAAAAAAAAGTCTCAGAAGCTCTAAATCTCACATTGTTTTAGCTGATTGTTTAGAGCCTCTGTCTGAAGGAAACTATGACCTGATCCCTGTTTGTGGGAAATCCCCTCCACTGCACCAGAGTTCTGCTTCCCAAGAACTAGCTGAATTCCCCTCACTGGTGGTGTTTTCTGGCAGAATGTCTAGTTTGGGTGATTATTGTTTTGTGATTAGTATATTTAAGTTGCCGATTGTCTATATGTGTTTAAATCAGGCTTCTGTAATCTCCCCTTAGTGTACGAGGTTACCTTCACTAGTGAGGAGTAGTGAGCTGGAGAAATGTGTCATCTCAGTGTATGGTTGACTTTTTTCCTCTTTGTTTTCTAAAGCTTGAAGAAGATTTAAAGCAGCAGAAAGAAGCAGCTTGCTTCAAAGCTCGTCCAAACACTGTCATCCATCAGGAGCCCTTTGTTCCCAAAAAAGAAAAAAAGCCAACGTCAGGTGGGATTATTGTGTCTACTTCCAAAGTACTTGGGTTGGTGATTGAAGAAGTTGCAGTGAGACTTCCGGGGCACAGAAAACTGCTGAGACTTTGTAGTTCAACGCAGTCAGTTGTGTCACTAAAGAACAGGCCTTTTTGGAGAAAGGGGAAATTTCTTCCTTTGTCCTCAAGGGAACATGGAGGTTGGGTTCAGTTCAGAGAAGCAGAATGTGTCTGGGGCCAAGAGCTTGGGTAGATGCAGCTGGCACTTCAACAAGAAGTACAGGTTTTCCCAGCTGTAGGTGAGGGCAGTAAGAGCCAGGTCTCCTCTTCTAGGATTAGGTCTTCAGGACATCTCCCGTATAAGATATTGTTAGAAATGGCTTTAATGGAATTGTGTTGTAGGTGGTGTTCTTTTTGGGCACTGGCCTGGTACTTGGGATCCCTAGGTGCTAAGGGCCAGCTCCTCTTTTTATCCAAGGGCCCTTCTGGTTCTAGTGTTCCGTGATTCTGGTTCTGTGGCATTTTTAAACTTTCATCTTTATGCATAATTAGACATTGTATGGCACTGAATTTCTCAGGTCAAGTGCATATCTGCAGGTAACTATTGTTTTGTCTGTCCGTGACTTAAAATTGCTGTTATCATACAGCCTAATATAGTGGAGTATGGGGTTTGGAGTCTAAAGACCTAGGTTCAGATCCTGCCTCTGCTTCATCTGGTGACTTGCCCAAGTCACTTAAGTTCTCTGGATCTTGGTTCCCTTAATTGTAGATGGAGCAGGTTAAACTAGATGATCTCTAAGCCTTCTTACAACCCTAAATTCCAGTGAGACCTAGAAACCCTGTTTTTTAAGTTCAGCTTTTGGCCTTCTAGTTGTACTAATGTTCTCCTGTTTATTTTTTTCTTCCTTTCTCCCTTTGATTGTTTTTTTTTTATTAGTAAGAAGCCACAGAGAAGAAAACCAGTTGATCCATGAATTTAAGATTTTTTTTTAAACTTTCAGGGAATATTTTGAGGTCTACTCACATTCAACCCCAATCTTCCTTCTTTATGGCACTGCACAATGATACCTGTTTGAAAAGATGACCTGAAGCATTGTGAAGTAGTCCAGTCTTACAGAGATAAAATGTCTCTAGTATTTGTTGTTGTTTAGTCATTTTTCAGTCATGTCTGACTCTTCAGGACCCCATTTGGGGTTTTCTTGGCAAAGATAGTGCAGAGGTTTTCCCGTTTCCTTCTCCAACTCATTTTACATTTTACAGAGAGGAAACTGAGGCAAACAGGGTTAAATGACTTGCCCAGGGTCACACAACTAGTAAGTGTATGTGGCTGGATTTGAACTCAGGTCCTCTTGACTCCAGGCCTAACACTGTATCCATTGTGCCACCTACTTGCTCTCATCTCTAGTATACCATATTTCATAAGGCATAAAGATGCAAACCTATTTAAGAAAATTTTTTGACAATTTTGAGCTGAAATATTCATTCTTTGAATACCCTTACAAATCAAGTTATTGATATAGATATGAATTTTGTATACTTTATAAAATGCAGGCTATCAGATGGCAGAGAATCTAGAAGGAAACCTTACATTATTAAAAACAGTTTTTGTAGTTTTTGCTCTTTAGTTGGTAGACAGCAATTTTGACATAAGCAATTATATAAAATTTTAGACATCAAACGTATAAAAATGTTTCTGGTCCTCAGTGGGAAGGCCAGCCCTCACCAACCATTTCATAGGCTTCAAAGAGTAATCATTCTGTCCAGGTCTTTTCAAATGCAGAAAAAAATGAAGCTGTTCCTTTTGTGCCATCAGGGAGGGCTCTGTATGCAGCAAGTCACCTCTTCTTTTCAGAAAGCAATTCTGTCCTCTGAGGGAAGGAGGACTTGCCACCCTCTCTGGGCATTCAAGCTCAGCTTAGTGGCATTTTCCTGCAGTTGGAGCCCTCCTAAGTCCAAATGAATAAACGTTCTCCAGCTCATGATGCGGTATAAGTCCATAGGCAAAAAGTAGTTACTAATTTATGTTATATTTGACATACATTATTTCATTTGATCCTCACAACAACCTTGTGAGAGGTAGGTGCTGTTACTTACTTTTTTATTATACTGTTAGATATCAGTGCAGACTTAAATGTAAGTAGTTATTAAAAGCATCAGAACTTTCAGTTTTTCCTCTCAGTCTGCATCAGTTTTCTCTGTTCATTCACATTCACTTTTACAGAGATGATTGTAATTAGTGTATAATCCAGTTGTCAGGTTTTGCTTTTTACTTTGTATTATTTTGTAAATTTTTCTAGGTTTCTTTGTACTTTTCATCTTTGTTCATCATTGCTTTATAACATTTCATCACATGAGTATGCCACAATTTACGTAACTAATGATGACAATTGGATTGTTTTTAGTCTTTTGCAATCATATAGTGCTTCTGTGAAAATCTTTGGAACAGATAACTTGTTGTTGTTGTTGTTGTTGTTGTTAGATTATTGGGGTTAAGTGACTTGCTGAGAGTCACACAGCTAGTGAGTGTTATATGTCTGAGGCCAGATTTAAACTCAGGTCCTCCTGACTCCAGGGCCAGTGCTCTATCCATTGTGCCACCTAGCTGCCTCATATAGACAACTTTTTTTGTTTGTTTTGACGATACTTATAAAGTACTTTCCAAACAAAGAAATTATTGGGTTGAAATGTATACTTATTTTTTGTAACCTTAATTACCTTCTGTTATTTTGCTCTCTAGAAAGATTATACCAGTTTTTAATTCCACTGGCAATGAATGATCATTCCTGTTTTGCCACAGTCCTTCCAATATTGAGTTTAGTTGCTTTTATCTGTTTTTAGCAATTTGATGGGTGCCAGATGATACCTGAAAGTTATCTTGATTTGTATCTTTTTGGTTATTAGTAAAGTTAAGCATTTTTTTTCAAGTGGTTATTAACAGTTTCTGCCTCTTTTGAAAACTGTTACTGACTTTTTAACAGTTTCTATTAAGAGACTGAAAATATCTAATCAAGTTTTTATGTCATATCTGCTATAAGTATTTTTCCCAAGCTGTTATTTTTCTTTTACTTGTTTTTAGTTATATAGAAAATTTATAAATCTTTCATCATAGTCAGACAATCTGTCCTGTCTCCATTAATTTCTTCTGTTTGTTGAATTGAATTAAATTTGTTTGCTTTCCGCAATTGAGATCAATATTAAATTCCATTTTCTTAGAAATCTTTTTTTATGTTTGTATCTCATTCTGCTGGAACTCACAGATGTTATTTGATGTAAGATGTGGATCTAAATTGCTTTTCCATCAAACTGACAGCCATCTTCCCAAGTACATTTGTTAAATAATGTTAAATGTTAATATAAAATGTTAATGTTAAATAATGAATCCTTTTCCCAATTACTATAGAGGTTTATCAATTGCCGATCTTTTGTGTATATATTTGACTATATGTTTTGTATATCCATTCAGTTCCATTGATCTATATCTTATTTTTTTTGCCTAGTACCAGTTTTGATAATCTCTTTGTCATATATTTTGAAGTCTGAGTACCAGGCTCATTTTATTAGTTTTCTTTTCAGTGTGCCTCTTAATATTCTTGTCATGTCTTTTCCCATACAAATTTGCTTATGATTTTGTCTAGTTCTATAAAGATTCTCCTTGTCTGTCTCTATACTCAGAGGACCTTTCTGGTTCCATAGTTCAGGAACCTTTTCAGCTGGCAACAGAGAGGAGAGCCAGAGAACGGCAGGAATTTGAGAAGCAGATGGCTGAGGTTGAAGCGCAGAAAGCCCAGAAGCTCGAGGAGGCCAGGCAGCGAGAAGAGGAGCAGAAGAAGGAAGAGCTAGCAAAACTGCGCCAAGAATTGGTAACGGAGTAGATGTCTTATGAGGGGAGCCTCAGGTTCACAGCGTTCTGCTCTGCCCTTCATTTGTTCAGTCACTCTGACGTATGTTTCAGAGCAAACAAGGGAGGCTTTGATTTGAACAAGTCATGCACTATTTGCCTTTAAGCACTAGAGGGACAGGATTTTAAGAACACCTCAGAGGACTAACCTGCATCAGTTGATACAGTGCATTTTTGAATAAAGTGAGATAAACATTTTTATTTCAGAGTAAGATTATCATATTTTTTGCATCAGCTGATGTGTCTGGTCCTCCTAGTGTTAATTGGTTCTGTTCCTCATCTGTGGTGCAGTGAGCTCTCTCCATTGGTTTTAGAATTCAGAGACTTGAGTCTTGGTGACCCTGAGCAAATTATTTAACCTCTTAGGACTCCAGTTTCTTTATCTGCAAATGAATGAAAAAGCATTCATTAAGCCTTTACTCTCCAAGCCCACTCAACACAATTCTCCAAGCATTGTGCTAAGCTCTGTGGATAAAAATTAAGATGATTCCTGCTTTCATGGAGTTGATCAGATGGAAAGGAAGTTCAAAGGAGGCAAGGATAGGCATTTAGCAAGGCCCTGGGATCCTTAAGTTATGTGTCAGGAGGGTGATTGGGAATGCTGAGGTCTGTAAGGGATAGAAGCAAGTCGGGTGGTATGACCTAGAGGCCTGTTAACAGGCCTGTAGCAGGGTAGATGGTGAGAATTGATGGGCAGCAAGAAAGTTGCAGCAAGCCCCTTCCTTTTCTAGCTACATTAACAGTCAAACAGCCCATATTGGATTTGGGGTGGGCCTGGGTGGGGAGAAGAGTACCTCTTCTGGTAGAGAGTCTTCACACTACCCCACCATCCCAGATAGGTCCTATAGAATAGGAATAATGACATATGATTTACCAACAGAGAAATTGTAAGGAAAGCATGTTTTAAATTTTAAAGTGGTACAAAAATATTAATTGTCATTACTACTACTACTACTACTACTACTACTACTACTACTACTACTACTACTACTACTACTTACTGAGAATTGGCACAGTGTGTTTGAAAATACTAAAACTGTCTCTGAGGACAGATATAATACTATGTTCTTGGCATATAGATTACTTACTATCCAATTCCCTTTCCCTCTACTTCCCAGCTAGAACCCACAGCTGTCATCAGGCCAGAATTCTCCTTTGTTGTTGTTTAGTTGTATCTGATGCTACAGGACCCCATTTATTTTGTCCATAGGATTTTCTTGGCAAAGATGCTGGAGTGGTTTGCCATTTCCTTCTTTAGTGTGCTCCCATTTTAGAGGTGAGGAACTGAGGCAAATCGGGGCTAAATGGCTTGCCCAGCATCACAAAGCTAGACGCCAAATTTGAACTCAGATTTTGCTGACTCCAGGTCCTGTGCTCTATCCACTGCATCACCTGGCTGCCCTTCTTTTTTCTGTGGATATTCCACCTTCAGTCCTACTCTCCCGCCTTTGTGTGCACCAGGTGGAGATGTGGGTACTCTCAGGCAGAGCTCATCCTGCCTCTTCATGAAGCTCTGGCACCAGAAATAATAGCTCACATATTATAGCACTCAAAGCTATACGAAGTGCTTTTCTCACAACTTAGGTAGTTTCAGAGATTTTTAAGCCCTTAATAACAGTGAGCTAGCAAATGAGCCAAGTCTGGAGGAGAGAAGTTAGAGGATTTGCCCAAGGACAGCCAAACAGGTAGTTCAGGGTGGGAGCTGGAACTGAAATCCTAATCTCTGACTCTAGGTCGCCTTCCTGTTGGGCCCCACAGTTTCTGAGCATGCTTGAGCAATCAGCCTTCCCTGTCTAAGCTTTATGACCTTCTCTGAATGCCCATTCCTTCATTCAGTGCCTGTTGTAGTTCATGTTCTTACCTTGATGATGGATCTTTAGTCTCATCAGTCCTTCCATTGGTGTAGATTTTAGCAGTTTGTATCTCTCTCTCTCTCTCTCTCTCTCTCTCTCTCTCTCTCTCTCTCTCTCGTTTTTTTTTTTTTGGCTTTTTGGTGAGGCAGTCGAGGTTAAATGACTTGCTCAGCGTCACACAGCTAGTAAGTGTCAAGTGTCTGAGGCCAGATTGGAACTCAGGCCTTTTTTTTTGGGGGGGGGTGCTAGGCAATTGGGGTTAAGTGACTTGCCTAGGGTCACACAGTGTTACATGTTTGAGGCTAGATTTGAACTCAGGTCCTCCTGAATCCAGGGCCAGTGCTCTATCTACTGTGCCACCTAGCTGCTGAAAAGGACTTTATTGTTTTGTTTTTTGGTGAGGCAGTTAGGGTTAAGTGACTTGCCCAGGGTCATACAGCTAGTAAGTGTGCATCTGAGACTGTATTTGAACTCAGGTCCTCCTGATTCCATGGCCAGAGCTCTATCCACTGTGCCACCTAGCTGCCCATAAATTCAGGTCCTCTTGACTCCGAGGCCAGAGCTCTATCCACTGCACTGTGTGGTTCTTTACTACATCTATTAGTAGGACTTTAATGGATTTAGGGAGATAATGTGGTGTAGCAGAAAGAGGACCACATGTGGGGTCAGGACCTGAGTTCAAACTTTGGCTCTGCCACCTAGTACCTGTAATTTGGGTGAGATCTTCCCTGTCTCTGTGCCTCGGTTTCTTCACTCGTGAAATAAAGGGTTGGCCTAGATGGTCTTGAAGGCCCTTTGTAGTTCCAAATCCCTTGACTGTTTTAGTGGAAGTGATTCTAGAGTGCATAGAGTCTCTGCTTTTGAATTTAGCTCTTAATCATAGACTGTGTTGTTTTGTTTGCTATTATTTCATGGTCACACTTATCTAACCATTCTTTGAGCTCTAGGAGGAATGGAACAATAACTTAAGTTTTTTCACTTATCTCTCATAGCACCTAGCAAATGTTGTTTACAAGAGTGCCTATTCATCTTCCTTTAGGCCCCCTCCCAAGATGATTTTATTACTATACTTTTGTGATTTCTAATGCTTTGTGGTTTATTTAATGACTCTCTTTTGGTAAAGGGGGCATGCCATACTTGTCATCCATTTATACATAAGGAATGATTTAGTCTGAAATAGTTTGAAATTGGGGTGGAATCCTTTTTTTTTGTTTTGTTTTATTTTGTTTTGTTTTTTAGCCCAACCTGTCCATTAAGTTACAAAAGAAAGTTGGAAACTGAATAACAGGCCCATAATAGTTGATTGCTGTTTTTTTCTTTTGTACTCTTATAGGTACACAAGGCGAATCCTATCCGAAGATACCAGGGTGTGGAAGTGAAGCCCAGCGAGCAGCCCTTGACCTTACCAGTATCTCCCAAGTTTTCTACCAGATTCCAGTGTTAAGCCACAGCTTCCTGTGTTTGTGTGTGTTCTTTCCTTGTGGGAGGTAGAGGCATAGTTCACGTTAAGAGTCTTTTCATGCTTTGCCACTGGGCGTGTCAGACACATTTCTATCAACTGTCTTAACTGTGCCTCACTCTTAAAGACTTCCAGCTGCGTAATTAATGCAAAGAAACCATGCTGATGCCCATAATGGATTATATCTAATCTAGCCACATAGTTGCTTCCTTTTAGCATGGGTTGGCCGTTAACGTGGGTCTTAATTCTTCTAGTGTCATTTTCAGCAGAGTATATGTATCCTGTTAGTCCATTATTTTTTAAAACAAGAAAATAAAGATACTTAAATATAGAGACCCACGGCTTGAATCATAATTGGAGGTCAGGATCTCTGTCTCAACTGCTTTGCTTTTTTCATTTTCTTTGCTTTCTCTTCCCATCCTTTGCTTTCTTTTAAGAGAGTAGGGTTGGCTCTAGAGATAGGTAGTTAATCACGAACTCTTGGCTTTCAGTTGCTAACAGAGAGAAAACTAGCCTAAGCAAATCTTTATTTATACTAATGAGTGATAAGGCCAGGTGGATACATTAAATTCATCAGATGTTCCAGAAAACTTTATTGTAGCCATCACCTAAAGCTCATATACCGTATCTTTGCCGGAGCTGTCATGAGAAACATTTAATGGATCTGAGCTCCTTTCCATCTCTTTTTCTCTCTTTCCCCAGACCCACCCCCTGCCCTCTCAAAAGACACACACTTCCTGTGGTGTTGCCAACAAGCCAGGATTGGGGGCAAAAAAGATAAAAAGAGCCTGGACAGTCTAATAAAATCTCTAAGAAGAGTTGGAAGGAGCCTGAGGGCTCATCTAATCCAGCTGCCGTACCTGATGTCTCATCCACAAGACTACCGAAAGGTGGTTATCCCACCTTTATTGAAGCACTGTGTGATGGGGACCCCGTTCCACTCTTGAATAGCTAATCATTTATAGTGAGTCAGAATTTGCATCCCCCTGAAATAAATTTGTTTATACTCTGCCTGTTTGTATTTATGAGATTGCAGGAGAGGTCTGTTCTTTTTGGTAAGTCTAAACTGGGCCCAGGGAAACTCTGAAAATAGTTTGGGGTGTTCAGACGGGAGGAAAAGTTACTTGTGCTAGTCTTTGTTGGCTATCAGCTGGTATTGACAACTAATCATTTAAGTCCATGCTAACCATAACATTTTCTAATAGGTTAAGATTTAAGAAATTTTTGTCTGTGGTTGTGCAGTCCTGTCTTAAATGCCATGCAGGATGTAGACCTCGAAGCTTTGTGTTTGTATGAACAGATTTAATTTGAGCCCAACATGATTCAGGAGCCATCTTGAGTAGGTAACTCACAGTGTGTCTATGTGAGTTGCCAAAAACCTAATAGGAAAGAATAATAGGATGGGATGATGCAAAAATTGACTATATTGTTGTCCAAACTCTGGGTTCAGTGGGACCCCTCCTGGAATTTGATAGTTGTGAAGAGAGATTCCGTGGGAGAGAGAATTTCAATACTAGCATTATTTTCCACTCTAAAAATAAATGATTAGCTTCCTCATCATGGCATATGGGTGTGACCCAGAGTTCTTCAGGCTATAAGGTCTTGTGAAACATGGGACCAGCGTTGGACTACATCACCAAGAACTGGGCTAATTAAATTTGAAGAGGCTCATTACCAAATTGGCCACATCAAGCCCTTTTTTTGTTTTAAATGTCTAAAAATCAGTGCCTTTAATTTCTGCTATCCCATTGGGTCTTCTTTTGTAATAAAGATTTTAAAAGAAAAGAGAGAAACTTTAGCTGAGCAAAAAATTAGTGAATAAATAGAGTGGCAGTAATTTGTAATTTTTCACCCCTATAAGTTATATCTCTCCCATCTTGCAGTGAAGAAAAGATGTATTCTCTTTTCTCTGGGTCCTGATTTGTTTTTTTTAATCGCACAATATTCATTTTCATTTTATTGTCCTTTCTGCTTGTAGTCATTGTATGTATGACTTTGCTTATTCTGCTTACTTCAGTCTGCATCAATTTATGTAAGTCTTCCAGTCTTTCTTTTAATTCTTCATATTGATTATATCTATAATCATTTCATTCATGTACCGCAGTCTGTTTAGCCATGTCACAATTGATGGGTATCCTATTTTGTGTTCAGTTCTTGGCTACCAAAAACAAAAAGTGCTCCCATGAGTATTGGGGAAACAGTTAATGTGGAGAAAAATCTTAGCGGCAAGTTTTTCTGACAAATGTCTCATTTACAAAATTTATAAGGAACTTGATTCAGATTTTAAGAAGAGCCATTCCCTGGTTGATAGATGAGCAAGCAGTCTTAAAGGGAAGCAACCAAGCTATCTATAGCCATGTGAAAAAATGTTCTAGTCATTAATTGTTAGAGAAATGAACATTAAAACAACTCAAATATTCCACTTCACAACCATCAGATTGGCAAAGTTGGGAGGAGCTGCCAGAAAACTGGTACATTAATATGCTATTGGTGGATCTATGAATTGGTTTAATCATTCTGGAAAGGAATTTGGCACTCTGTCCATCAAATTGTTGAACTATTCATGCCCTGTTGCCCAGCAATTCCATTACTAGGCCTGTACCTCCAAAGAAATCAAAGAAAGTGGAAAAGTTCCTTCTTTGTGCTGGCAAAGAACTAGAAACTAAGGATTGTCTGTCAGTTGGAATGGCTGAACAAATTGTCATAAATTAACGTAATGGAATACTGTTTTACCATAAGAAAAGACGAAGAAGAAAGTTGCTAAGAAACCTGGGAAGCCTGGTATGAATTTGATGCCCAGAGAAGAAAGAACTAAGGGAACAATTTACACCCTTAATTACATTATTAAAATGTTGAATACCTTTGAAATTAACACACTGATGAACATTAAATGATTTCAGAGGACTGGTGGAGAGGAGTGATAAAGCTGCAGGTACTTGAAATATTGAAGAAGGCTTGTAGCAAACGTACTTACGTATGACAATTTTCCATCTAAAATGGGTCTTTATTTTCTCTTATTTTGCTCTCCGATTTTTCCCAACTTCCCTTAATCCCAAGGCACTTCCAGTGCCTCAGGACCAAAATGTATGTCTGTCCAATGCATTTGAGCCAGATTTTGTTTGGAAAGTGCTGACCTGGTGGATCTGAGACCCAAACACTGCTCTTATTTGCTTCTGTACGGTTTCAGTTTCCCTCTGTGGTCATCTCTATCCCTTTTGGCTAATGGCCTCAGACCTAACCAGCCTCGAAGCAGTTGTGTGACAGCAGCCAACGGAAAGGTAGAACCCCTGTAGAAGCAACTGAGCTGGCTGGGGATTAGGGTTTGAGCAGTGTGCCCCCTGGGAGGACGAGGGCTTGACCACTTTTTCCTTTCCGTCTGCACATGCCATGCTGAGGCAGGTTGTCACCAGAGAGGCAGTTAAGAAGCAGTGGACTTCGTGGCTGGGTTCCTCTCCTTTTGGAGAGGCAGAGTGGGTGAGTTACAGCCCCCCAGTGGCAGGGATTCAGGTAGGAACGTTGTTAACATTCTGAATCTGGAGCTACCATCTGCCGTGCAGCCTGCTGGGACACTCAATTTAGACAACATATAAAGTTTCCTGGAGATGGGACAAGTCCTGACTCTGGTGGTGAGCTTGCTCAAACCTATGGAAAGAGCTGAAAGGTTAAAGTGTGTTCTGCTCCGGGCAGTGACGAGGGTGTAACCAGGGAGCTGGCATGCTTGATCTGCAGCCAAGTATTCCAGGACAGTTTGTTATCCAGCTAGAGCTGGTGTCGGCGCTGGCTTGAAATTCAAGGGGCAAAGTCATTTGTGTTTTTTGTTTGTTTTCCTTCATTCTCTCAGATGACATCTCTCTAATGTGTCAGAGGAAATGTCAGCATCATTGAAATTGCCAGAGCTTGCTTGCTTCCTTCATATCCCCTGGGAGAGAGGCTGGGCTTGGGCTCGGTTGTCACCATTCTTATATGCTAAAGGCATTAGCTTCCCCGGGGGGCCTGACAAGGGCAAACACCATTTCATTCTGACGATTCACTGCAGGGGGAGGGGACAGCAGTAGAGAATGTTCCATTCAGTGGGCGTTTGTTAAGCAGAACACTGCTGGATTAAAGAAAGCAGTGGGTAGTCGAGAAACTGCTGGTTTTGGAGTCAGAGGAGCTGGGTTTAAATCCTTGCTTTGCTATGTGTGTGATGGTAAAGCACGGCTGTGGCCTCTCATTCGTAAGATGAAGGGGCTTAGATTATGTCTGGGAGGCCCCTTTTAGCTCTGTATGACCCCTGCCCTTCTGGGGCTTACCCTCTAGTAGAGGAGATAATGAACGGTGCTTAGAATCCAGTGTAGTAAGCAGCAAGGCCAGTATTCAAACCAGTGGCCTTCAACCACAAGCCCAGTGTCCTTGCCACAAAACCACAGCTTTGCCAGTGAGGAAGAGAGTGCTCTGGGCACAAGGTACTGTGGTGATAAAAGCAGAAAAATGAGAGTAATAGGATTCTCTTTAGCTGGAACTCAGAATATGTGGTGGCAACTTGTGACATAAGAGTAGAAAAGGTAGGATGGGGCCTGGTTCAATTAAGGGTCTTAAAGGAGTTTGTTTTCCTTTAGTACGCAAAAAAAAAAAAAGTGGCCGTCGTTGAAAGATTTGGAGCCGAGGAATGGTTTGATTGGCTCTGTAAGGAAGGTTAAGTCTTGGAGCCTCCTAGGAGGGTAACAAGTAACCAACCTTTCCTCTTCCTAAAGTTTTGCCAATGCAACCTCCTGACACCATTGCAAAGACACCCCCATACCATGTGGGGGTAAAAATACAGCTATGTATGTGCTGTAAGAATTCTTGCCAAAGGGGCAGCTAGGTGACTCATTGAATAGAACACCAGCTCTGGAGTCAGGAGGACCTGAATTCAAATCCAGCCTTAGATACTTCCTAGCTGTGTGACCCTGGGGGAGTTACTTAACCCGATGGCCACCCCCTCCCCCTCCAAAAAAACAAGAATTCTAACTAAGTGTTATCCCTACTCTTAACTCGTTTATATAATATTTTAATGTTTATAAAGCACACTTCCCCTTGCCCCTTCCCCCCCCCCAGTTTTTTAAGGCGTATAGTGGATTCTCTCCATTTTTACAAGTAAGGAGAGAGGCTTTGAGAGATTGTGACATTGCTGGTAAGTGTCTGGAGGTGGATTTTGAGATTAGGTCTTTTTTCTCCATACCACACTACTTTCACCTGCTTCCTTGTTTTCATTTTAATGTGTTTTGTTGTTTTGTTTTGTTTTTTTCCCCTGAGCAGTGTAAGATTTCCTGAGCTGGCAATAGGCTGACCTGTTAAACTTTGTAGTGGGAGATGTTTCCATCCACAGTGGTGTGAAAACAGGCTGAGGTAGTGTTTTCACTTGTTCTGTGATTAAGTGAATCCCGCATGCTTAGACTCACACCTTCACTAGGTGACTTGAAAGTGAATTTGAACATTCCTCTGACCCAGCGGTGCCACTTCTAGGCCTATAAGACAAAGAATCAAATGAAAAAGAAAAGGTCCTATATTGCTAAAAAATATACAATAGCTCTTTGTGGTGGCAAAGAACGAGAAACTAAGGGATTGCTCATCAGTTGGAACTACTGATCAAATTATGTCATATGAATGTAATGGAATACTGTTGCACTGTAAGAAATGACAGAGGAGATGATTTTACAGAAATGTGGGAAGACTTGAACTGAAGCAGAGGAAGGGAGTAAAACCAGGAAAACAATTAAAATGAACAATTTTGCCTTAAGAACTGTGATTCCAGAAGGCTGTTGATAAAGAATCCTACCTACCTCCTGACAGAAGCAATGGACTGAAAGACAGTTTTGGATATGGTCATTATGAGAATTTGTTTTACCTGACCATGCATATTTGTTACTAGGGTTTTTCTCCCTTCCCGATGGGGGAGGGGAAACATGAAAGAGAAAGAATAAATGCTTGTTAGTTGAAAAAAATTAATTTTAAAAATGAATTTGAATTTGCCCTGTATAAGGCAGCATGGA